GTCAGTCAGTCAGTCATCTGTCTATCAAAGTAGATCAGCCAATCGCTGAACAGGTCAGATGTCATCCAGGCTTTTGTGTTAAATCGGTAGCGAGCATACACTTCGGGGTTGAAATCTCTTCCGAAGCAACGTGGTCAACTTTTCTAATAGCTTTAAGCATATAGATAGTTAATATTTATATTTTCATGATAATTTTATGTGAAATGAGTGTTTCATGTTACACTACAAGTCGTTGGAATTTGTCAGTGCTGTCATTGTTAAAAGAAGTTATATTTCTTTGAGCATATCTGGCTGGATACTATTATTATCTGTAAATATAATAACATAATTAAACTGCATCAAGTTCACTCCATTCTTCCACAGAGGAGTCATCAGTGTCCAGACGAATGACAACTGGATTAACTGTTTGCTCCTTCAAGCAATCTTTGAGCCAGTACTCTTTCTCCACCTTCTTGACATGTTCAACACATGCATGCCAGCGTGCAATGTCAATGTCACATATAGCAGTGTTGACAATGTGCTTGACATCTATCATTCAACTTGAATGATTGATTTTTCCGGGCCACTGAACTTTTAAGGTCTCCCCAGATAAGTTCGATTGGGTTGAGATCACAGTGGTACGGTGGTAATCTCAAGACCTTATGGCCGTGTTGGCGTAGCATGTTGTCAATGTTATATGTGGGTGGAGGTTTGTTACGTTTAATCAAAGAGTACAACTGTGGTTTAGTGGCCTTAATTGAAAATTGTATATTGTTATTTGCTAGCCATTGCTGCATATCTGACTTCTTTGTATTGGAAGTTGGGCACCTATTGTTTGGATCTCGAACACTGTGATAGGGAGCATTGTCCCTGACAACAAGACTTTCGTAAGGCAGAGCTGGCAACAATTGTTCCTCAACATACTGTGTGAAAACCGTTGAGTTCATTTCTGTATGATAGTCCCTACAATCTGTGCTCTTTGACCGAAATACCAGATCACACCCAGGTAGGAATCCACGGTCGGAACCAGCATGAAGAACGATTAAACGTTCACCTTTGCCTGTTGGTATTTTCCTACCATCACTGGGATCAGTGGGTAGCCACTGTCTGGCAGCAGTATGGTTTGCATTGACCCAGGTCTCATCTAGGTATATAGGTTCGAACCCATCCTCTCTTGCCTGCATAATGTCTCTCAGATAGTTACACCTTATTTTCACAATATTAGATCTCTCAGACATTACAAGTTTCTGGTTTGCTACCTTCTTGTACTTGTATCCAAATTTGAGCAGTAGTTTGCTTAGCATAAACCTAGAAACATTAATGTCGTGATCCTCTGCAAGGATGTGTTTTAACTTTCTTGTGGACAGGTGTTAATTTCTAGCAAATAGCCGGCGAATGACATCTCTGATGACCCTGATGTCAAAAGAATCTAACTTTGGATGCCTACCTTTTTGTACAAGGTTTTGTTTATTGGTTGTTGGTTTATTTTTCACAATTTTTAGCACGATGTTCTTTTTCATGCCAAGGGCAAAAGTTGTACGTTTCATGTAATCCGACACCTTATAAATCGGTTTGCTACGTTTGCTCTCTTTTTAAAAAAATTCAACACATTTCTAATTAAACGTTTAGCATCATCTGCATAAGCTTTCATGATGACAGCTAGAAGTAGTAAATGTGAATGATCCAAACGGTCTATCACTGTGCAGTGCACAGGTAACTATCATGAACTGCACGTGCATTTACCTTTATGACCCAACACTGCCGCTGTTACAGGTCATTGGCTCCCTCCCTCTGCAAGCCGTCTGCGTTGAACAACTCAGAGAAACAAACTCCGTATGATGGTTAACAGGACTGGTGGCACCCACCCTACCCTATTCACGACCTGTGACACCTCTTCATACCTGTCAAGTGCATAGCTGACCTACATTGATGAACGTTTACTTTTATGACCCAGCACTGCCGCTGTTACAGGTCATTGGCTCCCTCCCTCTGCAAGCCGTCTGCGTTCTGCTGTTTATTTTGTTCACAGTTACATAGACTGATTCTTTAATACAAATGCATAAAATCGGTGATTTACAATGTGATTAGGTTGTCTGACAAAACATCCACTTGCACAGTTTGAGATCGATTGGATCATTGGATGAAGAGATCTTTACCAAAAACCGGGTCAACATGCATTCCATGCCAAACTATAGCATCGGTTTCAAACAGTCGGCAATGAATCCACAGTCCATAAACAAAGAGAACAATTTCGTATAACACCATTTATCGTGGCGCTGAATGCAGTGGATTCCTTGAAATGGCACCAACATACCTTCTTGACCTTCGAATAACACAGTGTATCCTCTGACAATGTTGCACTGCAATGGTTGAAAGTTCCATGATTCGAAGAAGAACATGAGAGTTTAAAGTCCAGCAAATTTCGCACATTAATATTGCCGTTCAATCCACTCACGAGGTCGATAATCGCACAATACTGTATGCAGATCTCACAGTCACAACACACACATATTTCTTACTATAGGTCAATGTATTCCCTGTGAGATTTGACTCTTCACGTGATATGACTTTGTTATTCCGGGACAAGCCTCTTCTTTGAGGTTACGGAAAGGGGCGAGTGGTGACGAATGACTTCACTCTTGTTTATTTAACAACGGTAAATGGATCCATGCCGACGTTGCCATCCATGAAATATCTTGTTTTGACTTTAAAGCTTCCAAAAACATGTTTCCTTGACCATTCATATATGCACTAAAAATCAAATGCACACATTTCTCCATTTCTCATGTTTATACTTTCTTGCAAATCATTATATCCAGCGACAAAAGAAGACGGGGAGTGGTCTCTCCTCAACAAGCCTCTTAGAGTATGCCTCGACTCGTCACGTGACCAGTTTTAGCCGCTTATTTTTTTACAATTGAGCCTGATTTGTTTTCAAAAGCTGATTACATTCGCCGAGTGTTGTGACAACTGAAAACCTATATGTAGAAGTTAAGTCACCTATTCTGGCACTTCATTTTAAGTCAAAAAATTGTTATTAGTGACAGTATTAGTACAGTAGATTTGTAGTAAAATTTCAATTCGGCATGTTGTAGCTCACTGGCTTCCATTCTCGGTACACAGCGAAGAAAGACTAAATTTTATGGACAAAAACTTCTTTCACATATTCCTTTAATTCTTAGAAGGGAAATATACCTTTAGTCGAAAGGTTTTTGCAAGTAATAGTGATAGTTTTATGATTTAAAAAAAATTGTTAGGGTGTATTTGAGCCGTGTGCAAAATATGACATATCGCCGATCTGATCCGATCCGCCATTGAAATACTACAGGGCGGTGTTTGAGTGTTTCTAGTTATTATTCTAAAAACTTCTTTCAGACACACCTTTGATTTTTTTGAGGGGAATATACCCTCAGTTGAAAGGTGTTTGCATGTAATAGTGATAGTTTCATAATTTAAAAAATATATTGTTAGGGTGTATTTGAGGTGTGTGCAAAATATGACATATCGCGGATCTGATCTGATCCGCTATTGAAATACTACAGGGCGATTTTTGAGTGTTTCTAGTTATTATTCTAAAAACTTCTTTCAGATACACCTTTTATAACTTAATTTTATTATTATTATTATTCCAGATAGAGACCTGTTACATTTAGAGGTCCGTGCCCAGGTTTGCAACGGGCCTCTTTTAGCATATGTCATATTACATCATTGATCTGGATTTTTTTAGGCATTACAAACACACACAAACACACACACACACAAAGAGAGAGAGAGACATCCACTAATACATGACTAAATATTGTTTGTAGTTTTCGATAATCTATTTTATTTTATTTTTAAACAACTTTCTGTTGACTGATCCTTTGCAAGTATAATTGAACATTTTAACTATAATTTGAATATTTCTATTCCGTACCTGTGCCATCTCAACCTTATTTTTTTATGAGGTGAATATACCATCAGGTGTAATTTGCGAGTAATATTGATAGTTTTATAATTTTAGAAAATAATTGTTAGGGTGTGTTTGATGTGTGTTACAAATATGATATATGGCCGATCTTTTCTGATCCGCCATTGATGCCTGTGATACTTGAGTGTTATAGTTCTAAAACTCTTTCTTTCTTGTTGATCTTAGTATTGACAAAACTGGAAAGGTGATTACGACGCTTTGTGATAGTTCTAAACTCTCGGTATTTGAGGGGTGTGTGACATTGTCAATTAACTTTCTGTCTATGTCCATGCCATTCCACATGTGCAGGAAGATATCTGAATGCTAAATTGCTAATGTAAAAAACGTCTCAAAGTAGATTTAAAAAGAATTGACAGCATGCGATTGTTTTGTGTTCTTTAAAATGTTTGGGGAGGGATGGCCGGGGTGTATCATTTATTCTTTCATTCAGTCACACATGTATGTATTTCTTTCCTTTTTTTTTCTCTATTTCTTTCATTCATTCACATATAATTCTTGCTATAATTCATTCATTCATTCATTGTAAAATTTGGAAGATAATTTAGAAATTGAGAGAAAAAGGCAAGGGGAACTCATAAGCATTCAACATAACCAGAAAAGCATTGATACATAGTGAGACATTTTGCTCCAATTTACTGAGTATTATTTCCGACTGATATTACAAACGGGCTGAAGTACTCTTAAACGCAACCGAAGTTGCACTGGGAACGAACCAAGTCCCTGTGAGCGTTGGAGCATAACGAGGCACACACCAATTATAGTACAAATGGTATAAAAAGCAAGCGAGTGACCTATCCCTGCTGTAGATTATCCCTGGTTATATCAAATGAAATCAATATTGCGTAAACATAAAAAAGTCGGAGAGCTTTAAGTTGCTGATAATTGTGCCCAAACGTATATGTGTGAATTTAAAATGTTTATGCAATTCCTTGCTTTAATGAACATAAGGACATTTTACTGAGAAAAAATCAATTACACTCCAGCTTACGAGGCAAGTGTTGCGCTCCATTGCTCCAAGACTAACTGGTCAGGAAATATGTAAATAGAGTATAGCTGATTTAACATCATGCAGTGTTTACCTTTATGTCGGGCAACGAAAATGTTGATCGCTGAGCGGTACTGGAGGCAATTCAGATGATGTATGACACTGCAATTGAGTGGTAACCCGGGATTATCATTTGTTCATTTGGGTAAGATGTGACTGAAAAGAAATGACGCATCGCGACCGGTGAAATGCCGAGGTGCCGTAATAAGTGATAAGGACACGAGATAGCGACAACACTGTCAACAGCTAAATGCATGCCATCCTACTTTTTGACGATTTCTGACTCGAGTTGGTCAGTAAATGAGTAATGGCGATTTGACGTACACGATAAGCACAGTATGTAATATGATTAGGTCTAGTAACATACATGAATATTTAAAACATCCCCAGGCTAACCACGGTACATAGAGTGAATCTGGTGATAGAGAAGGAGAGGCACAAGAGAAACACGGATTATTGTTCATTTCAGTAAACTACGATTTTAACGAACACAGATAAAACAAACTTACAGATATATTGAGCTGCTTTTAAGTCCTGGCTGCTTGTTTGATATTTTAGTCGAAATATGTACGTCTAACAGCATATCATCCTGTGACTGACAAATATACTGTGTGTATCATCCTGTGGCTGACAAATACTGTGTGTATTATCCTGTGACTGACAAATACTGTGTGTATCATCCAGTGACTGACAAATACTGTGTGTATTATCCTGTGACTGACAAATACTGTGTGTATCATCCTGTGACTAAGAAATACTGTGTGTATCATCCTGTGACTGACAAATACTGTGTGTATTATCCTGTGACTGACAAATACTGTGAGTATTATCCTGTGACTAACAAATACTGTGTGTATCATCCTGTGACTGACAAATACTGTGTGTATTGTTAAGTTATATGTCATGTCTGGAGATGTCCTAGGAAGACTCAGATAACATGAAACTGTGGTGGGAGACGAACACTTTATTCCATGTTGGTTTTGCCTTGGCCTACACAGACGCACGCTGCCCATGGACCAGTCGTTGTGTACAGACTCTTAGGGAGTAATCATTATGCAACATCTCCCTTTCTTTAGAAAAGTAAAGATAGCAATTAACACACTATCCCAGCAAACAATTTAAACAAATGCTAAACAAGTTAAAATGAACAAATTAAAGTCTATATCTCTTTCTTGAGAAATTAAAAGTCTTTGCTGATAAGCAGCACCACACGTCATATCTTCCTCCCTTTTTTTCTTTTTAAGGCACAAAGTCCCTGTATCAGGGTGGTGGTCTGACCACCCTGCCTCTCCTCGTTCTGATCTCTTGACCAGGTGCTGTGCCATGAACAGAACTGTCCATGATCCTAGGAGTGTTCACAGGAGTGTTCACATCAAAGTCTACAGGAGTTTTCAAAATTTTCACAGGAGTTTTCACAAGGGTTTTCACAGGAGTGTTACCAGGAGAGTTCACAGTTGACTGAAACTCTTTCATTGACCTTTCATCCATTCTCTGCTCTTCCAAATCCAGTTTGACATCTTTAGTCTCAGGGGCAACCTCTTGGGATTTTCTTAGATGGCGTCTATTTCTCCCGAAGAGATCTTCCATCTTCTGTACGTATGTCATACGATCGTACATCCACTTGCTGTTCTACAACAGCTTTCTTCCATTTCTTTTTGTCACGACTGAATGGCTTCACCTGAACTACATCTCCATCTCTCAGTTCTGAAAGTTCACCTGCACCGCGATTGTAGTAGTAAGCTTCTTGAAAGTGCGGCAGGGACGTTTTCACTAGTTTTCGGCTGCAGCAATCGACTTGACGTTGGTAGCTTCGTTCTCGTTCTGCGCCCAAACAACCTTTGAACTGGCGAGCTGCCTACACCATCAGTCGGCACATTTCTTAAGTCCAATAGGGCCAGAAAGTGGTCTGACTGTGCATGCTGAGACTTACTCATGAGTCTCTTGACGATCTTCACAGCACTCTCCACTTTCCCATTCGACTGTGGGTACCTGGGTGATGAAGTGATATGGTCAAACTCATACTCTGTTGCAAATGTATGGAAAGCTTCAGAATTAAAGGGAGGTCCATTGTCTGACACAATCTGATTGGGAAGTCCATGCCTCGCCAAATGGGATTTCAACTTTTTAATGATTTCAGGTGCCCTTTTATCATGCAGTCTGTCAACCTCAAAATAGTCCGAGTAGTAGTCAACAGTGATCAAAAAATCTTTTTGATCAAACTCAAAAAGATCACACCCTAGTTTCTCCCATGGACGACTAGGTATTTCATGACTGACCAATGGCTCTCGTCTTTGATCCTGTTGCAGCGTATTGCAAGTATCACACTTGCTGATGAAATCTGTGAGGTCAGCGGCCATATTGGGCCAATACACAGACTCTCTGGCTCTTCTGATACAACCTTGTATCCCCAAGTGACTGTAGTGAATTCTTTCCATGATGCCAGGGCGGATACTGACTGGCACAACAACACGTTCACTCTTGAACACTATGCCGTTTTGAACAGAGAGCTCATCGCGAAAGGGGAAAAAGACCCTGGCACACCATGGCACATCATCTGATGACGTTGGCCAGCCGTCCTGAATCAGATCCTTCAGTATCGTCATTGATTTGTCTTCCACGGTTGCTTTTTGTAACTGGTCAATTCGTTCCTCAGATATTGGCACATACTCAACCATGTTGATGGATTCAACGTCAAGCGCTGTCTGACATCGAACATCAACAGCAAACACATCTCCGTCATCAGTCTCAGTATGTTTCACATGTGGAAGATATGCTCTACTCAGAGTGTCAGCAAAGAACATTTGAGATCCCCTCTTGTAGATGACCTCAAAATCGTACTTCTGAAGTCGTAACATCATGCGTTGGAGACGCTTCAGAGCACACAACAGACTTTTGCGCAGTATTGACTCCAATGGCTTGTGGTCCGATTCCACGACGACCTTCCGTCCGTAGACATACTGTTCAAATCGTTCCATGCCAAAGACAATCGCCAACATTTCTTTCTCTATCTGAGCATATTGTTTCTCAGTGTTGGTCAAAGATCGAGATGCATATGCTACAGGCTGACCATTTTGGATCAGACAAACACCCAGTCCATTTTGTGATGCATCACACTGAAGGCTTGTCTCGGCGTCATTGCCAAAGTACTTCAGTACAGGTGGTTCAGACAGAATATGTTTGATTTTTTCCAAACACTTGCCATGAACTTGCTCATCCCACCTGAAGTTCACATCACTTTTCAACAGATCCCTCAGAGGTGCAGTCACTTCAGACAAGTTGGGTACAAATTTCTGAACAAAGTTCACCATCCCTAAAATGCGCTGAATACCCTGCTTATCCGTTGGTGTGGGCATGTTTGTGATTGCTTCAACTTTCATGTGATCAATCTTTGATCCATCCGAGGTTACGACATGTCCCAGATAAGGCACCTCAGTCAGTTTCAGTTTCAGTTTGGATCTGTTCAGTTTGATATTTCTGTTCCTGCATCGATCAAGGAACTTGGACAACTTCTCATCATGATCAGCTTCAGCCACTTCATAAGTGTCTCCAACACCATAGATCAGAACATCATCATGTACAGCACGTACTCCATCCAAGCCACATATTGCCTCATTCAAACGGCTGAAACTCCTCAGGTGCTGGTGACAACCGAATGGCATTCGTAGCCAACGGTAACGGCCCCAAGGCGTTTCAAATGTTGTCAAGAAACTGCTTTCCTCCTCAAGCTGGATATGCCAAAATCCATTTTTAGCATCTGCTAAAGTAAAGCACTTAGCGTTTGATAATTCCGGCAGAATGTCATCAATTGTCTTTATTGGATAATGATTCCTCTTGAGAGCTTGATTCAGTGGTTTAGGATCTATGCAAATCCTTATCTTGTCAGTACCCTGTTTCTTGACCACAACAAGGGCAGAGATCCAGTCAGTAGGAACATTCACAGGGGTGATGATCTTCAGATCAGCCAGTCTTTCAAGTTCAGCCTTGAGTTTCTGTTGTAAGGCAAGTGGAACCTTCACGACATGGTAGCTGGACTGGTGTCACAGTCTCATCTACTTCAAAACGCAACAAGCCATCAAGTGTGCCCTCTCCCCTCAAATACATCCTTGTAACGATGGATTATGTCCGTCCAGGTCCAATCTTGCTAACTCTGTAGAAACATCTCCACTACCTGAGATCTGGAAAATGTTCTCAAAGTTCACAGTGATTAGCTGCATTTGTTGAACAGCTATTGCACCAAGTATTGGTGGTGAGCCTCTGTCCCTCGTTATCAAGAATTCAATGGTGTATTCACCCTGATTCCTGGGATTTTTGACAGTCACTTCACACTTGCCAACAGTTTGAGATTTCACTCCATTGTACATTCAAGAGTAGTATTGACCTGTGTTTCCAACTTTTCCAGGTGGGGATCCTGAAACACATTAGCGTAGATAGTCTCTGGCAACACATTGACAGTAGATCCACAATCTAACTGAAATTTGACCTCAGTTTCCTTGATGAGGAGGACAGCAAAAATCTTCCGTAAAAATACTGTTGACTTTCACCATGTAATTGAACACTGTTCACATTTTCAACATCCACTGATAAAATATATTCATCCTCAGTATCTTCATCACTCAGTAGTTGAACATTGGCTTGACTCGACTGGCACACATAAGCAAAATGATTTGGTCGTTTACATTTGTTGCAAATTCTTCCCCATGCTGGACATTCCTTCCTGCCGAACACATGACTCGTCCCACAAAAATTGCACTGTAGAGACTGATCACTTCTGGTAGTCAATCCAGGTTTAGTTTCCTTTCCTTTGGGTTTTTTGTAACCTCTAGTTTCACTGATAGCTTGCACATCCTCAGTGTTTGATAGAGATTTTAGTCTAGCAGCTGCTCTCTCATGGGACCTACAGATGTCAATACAATCTTTCAGTGATAGGTTCAAGACTGCAGCAGTCTCTTGCGAGTGGAGTTATCACAAATGCCCATCACCATTCGATCCCTGATGAGACTATCTTCAAGCGTTCCATAATTGCATGTTTTAGCTAGAGTCCTAAGTGTTGCTACATAAGTATCAACAGATTCAAAGTGTTCTTGATTCCGTTTGTTGAAATTGAACCGTTCCCATGTTTCATTGGTCTCGCCAATGCAGTAAGCTTCTAGTTTGTCCAATATTTTCTCGACTTTCCTCCTATCATTTTCACTGTCGAACTGCAACCCATCCAATATGTCTAGAGTCTCAGAACCAATACAAGTTAACAGTGTAGCTGATCTGCATTCATCAGAATCTGTCTTTGATCGAGAAGCAAGCTCATAGTTTCCCCACATTCGTTTGAACTTTATGAAATTTCTCGTCAAATCGCCCTTCAGATCAAGCCTAGGAGGCAAAGGAATGTTCATAGGTACGTGTATCACTTGTGGTGAAGGAATATTTCCACTTTCATCAGCCATGATTGAGTAGTAGTAGCAGTAGTTTCGCTTGTCCATATATTACTCACGACTAGCAATATAATCCGATTCACAGAAAATCCGTTAGTCACAGATTCAATATTGTCACACAAAACTATCGAAATTAGGTGACACTGAACCACGTGCGTCTCGGCTCTTTCAATCAAAAGATATTCAGTCAGTAATGCACAACAATTTGTAAAGTTTGTCAGGCGTACTCACTTCTGACACCATGTTAAGTTATATGTCATGTCTGGAGATGTCCTAGGAAGACTCAGATAACATGAAACTGTGGTGAGAGACGAACACTTTATTCCATGTTGGTTTTGCCTTGGCCTACACAGACACACGCTGCCCATGGACCAGTCGTTGTGTACAGACTCTTAGGGAGTATCATTATGCATCCTGTGACTGACAAATACTGTGTGTATTATCCTGTGACTGACAAATACTGTGCGTATCATCCTGTGACAGACAAATACTGTGTGTATCATCCTGTGACTGACAAATACTGTGTGTATTATCCTGTGACTGACAAATACTGTGTGTATTATCCTGTGACTAACTAATACTGTGTGTATCATCCTGTGACTGACAAATACTGTGTGTATTATCCAGTGACTGACAAATACTGTGTGTATTATCCTGTAACTGACAAATACTGTGTATTATCCTGTAACTGACACATACTGTGTGTATTATCCTGTAACTGACAAATACTGTGTGTATTATCCTGTAACTGACAAATACTGTGTGTATTATCCTGTAACTGACAAGTACTGTGTGTATTATCCAGTGACTGACAAATACTGTGTGTATTATCCAGTGACTGACAAATACTGTGTGTATTATCCTGTAACTGACAGATACTGTGTGTATTATCCAGTGACTGACAAATACTGTGTGTATTATCCAGTGACTGACAAATACTGTGTATTATCCTGTAACTGACAAATACTGTGAGTATTATCCTGTAACTGACAAATACTGTGTCTATTATCCTGTGACTGACAGATACTGTTTGTATTATCCTGTAACTGACAAATACTTTGTGTATTATCCTGTGACTGACAAATACTGTGTGTATTATCCTGTAACTGACAGATACTTTGTGTATTATCCAGTGACTGACAAATACTGTGTGTATTATCCAGTGACTGACAAATACTGTGTGTATTATCCTGTAACTGACAAATACTGTGAGTATTATCCTGTAACTGACAAATACTGTGTGTATTATCCTGTGACTGACAGATACTGTTTGTATTATCCTGTAACTGACAAATACTTTGTGTATTATCCTGTAACTGACAAATACTGTGTGTATTATCCTGTAACTGACAAATACTGTGTGTATTATCCTGTGACTGACAAATACTGTGTCTATTATCCTGTGACTGACAGATACTGTGTCTATTATCCTGTGACTGACAGATACTGTGTCTATTATCCTGTAACTGACAGATACTGTGTCTATTATCCTGTAACTGACAAATACTTTGTGTATTATCCTGTGACTGACAAATACTGTGTGTATTATCCTGTAACTGACAGATACTGTGTGTATTATCCAGTGACTGACAAATACTGTGTGTATTATCCAGTGACTGACAAATACTGTGTGTATTATCCTGTAACTGACAAATACTGTGAGTATTATCCTGTAACTGACAAATACTGTGTGTATTATCCTGTGACTGACAGATACTGTTTGTATTATCCTGTAACTGACAAATACTGTGTGTATTATCCTGTAACTGACAAATACTGTGTGTATTATCCTGTAACTGACAAATACTGTGTTTATTATCCTGTAACTGACAAATACTGTGTGTATTATCCTGGAACTGACAAATACTGTGTATTATCCAGTGACTGACAAATACTGTGAGTATTATCCTGTAACTGACAAATGCTGTGTGTATTATCCTGTAACTGACAAATACTGTGTGTATTATCCTGTAACTGACAAATACTGTGTGTATTATCCTGTAACTGACAAATACTGTGTATTATCCAGTGACTGACAAATACTGTGTATTATCCAGTGACTGACAAATACTGTGAGTATTATCCTGTAACTGACAAATGCTGTGTGTATTATCCTGTAACTGACAAATACTGTGTGTACTATCCTGTAACTGACAAATGCTGTTTGTATTATCCAGTGACTGACAAATACTGTGTGTATTATCCTGTAACTGACAAATGCTGTGTGTATTATCCAGTGACTGACAAATACTGTGTGTATTATGCTGTAACTGACAAATACTGTGTATTATCCTGTAACTGACACATACTGTGTGTATTATCTTGTAACTGACAAATACTGTGTGTATTATCCAGTGACTGACAAATACTGTGTGTATTATCAAGTGACTGACAAATACTGTGTGTATTATCCTGTAACTGACAGATACTGTTTGTATTATCCTGTAACTGACAAGTACTGTGTGTATTATCCAGTGACTGACAAATACTGTGTGTATTATCAAGTGACTGACAAATACTGTGTGTATTATCCTGTAACTGACAGATACTGTGTGTATTATCCAGTGACTGACAAATACTGTGTGTATTATCCAGTGACTGACAAATACTGTGTATTATCCTGTAACTGACAAATACTGTGAGTATTATCCTGTAACTGACAAATACTGTGTGTATTATCCTGTGACTGACAGATACTGTTTGTATTATCCTGTAACTGACAAATACTTTGTGTATTATCCTGTGACTGACAAATACTGTGTGTATTATCCTGTGACTGACAGATACTGTGTATTATCCAGTGACTGACAAATACTGTGTGTATTATCCTGTGACTGACAAATACTGTGTGTATTATCCTGTAACTGACAAATACTGTATTATCCTGCAACTGACAAATACTGTGTGTATTATCCTGTGACTGACAGATACTGTTTGTATTATCCTGTAACTGACAAATACTTTGTGTATTATCCTGTAACTGACAAATACTGTGTGTATTATCCTGTAACTGACAAATACTGTGTGTATTATCCTGTAACTGACAAATACTGTGTATTATCCAGTGACTGACAAATACTGTGAGTATTATCCTGTAACTGACAAATACTTTGTGTATTATCCTGTAACTGACAAATACTGTGTGTATTATCCTGTAACTGACAAATACTGTGTGTATTATCCTGTAACTGACAAATACTGTGTATTATCTAGTGACTGACAAATACTTTGTGTATTATCCAGTGACTGACAAATACTGTGTGTATTATCCTGCAACTGACAAATACTGTGTGTACTATCCTGTAACTGACAAATGCTGTTTGTATTATCCAGTGACTGACAAATACTGTGTGTATTATCCTGTAACTGACAAATGCTGTGTGTATTATCCTGTATCTGACAAATACTGTGTGTATTATCCTATGACTGACAAATACTGTGTGTATTATCCAGTGACTGACAAATACTGTGTGTATTATCCTGTGACTGACAAATACTGTGTGTATTATCCTGTAACTGACAAATACTGTGTGTATTATCCTGTAGCTGAGGGGTGATTTGTTTTGTTATGGCTTACAGATACTGTCTATATTGCATTATTATCCACAGTCTGCATTCTCATAAATTAAAATGTGGTCAGTAATAAAGAATACAATCAACTTATTATTTTGTCTTTAGCTCAAGATACAGTAGAAGACACACACTCAGTGACATGACTCAGCATGTTTGTGGAGTTATACGAGCAATCCCCAGCCGCATTTTTTCATTGTCAACCAAACTGTCATACTGTAGTTGTAATGTATTATTCATGATCATGATGATTATACAGGCACTGACAGTGTATATATATTGATAGGTTGTGTAGAGTGTACCAGTAGAATGCTATGCTAGTCTGTCTCACAGTCCCCAATCATATAATTTTCCTTGCCCCTTCTGCAATGTAAAAGCACTAAATGGAGAAAGTCGAGATTTACCGCTGGTCCTAATCTCCAATATCATTAGGGCTCAATTTGAATTGAAATGGAATTATCGGTTTGTATCAAAATGATATATTTTCAGGGTCTAAGTGATAGTCTAAGCCATGATGTTTTTTGTTTCTGTATATTTTCAGAGTCTGAGCAATAAGTCATGGCCTACATAGAAATGAACCACGATGCCATCAACCAGCCAGTCAACTTCAGCCCTGCACCTCGTCGCCATCTCAGCCTGGACTCTGTTGCCAGCATCCAGGGCTCCTTCTCCTCAGAGGAAGAGTATCACTTCACCGACTCATCCCACCCGCCTCAGATGCTTGCTAGTCTCAACTCCCTCCGCCAGACGAGTCTCTTCTGTGATGTCATCATTTGTGTTGGTGGTCGTGAATTCCCTTGTCATCGTGTTGTGCTAGCATCCTTCAGTGCCTACTTCCGTGCGATGTTTGCCTGCAACCTGGTTGAGAGCAACCAGAGAAAAGTGACTCTGAATAACGTTGAACCCGGCATTGTGGAGACACTTCTAGAATTCGCCTATACTTCGGAAATTCTCATTACGCATCAGAATGTTCAGTCACTGCTATCAGCTGCCAATCTGTTTGAGATCTTGACGGTCCGGGAGGCCTGCTGTCAGTATCTGGAGCGCAACATGGACGACAGCAATTGCATAGGCATCCACTGTTTTGCAGAGGCCCATGACTGTATTGAGCTGCAGGAGAAGTCAAAGGAGCTGATCCTGCGCTGCTTTCCTACAGTGAGTCTCCTGGATGAGTACCTTCAGCTGGAGCCAGACAAGCTGCAGGAGCTTCTGCAGGTGGGTGTTACTGTTATCCTGCAGTGATGTTCATATGTTTCATATATGTTTTAATATATACTGCCTCAGGCCAAATAAAAAAAATATTGTGCTTCCGATTACACCTCTTTAAAATTTAGGGTAGGTAGGTATTATTTTGGGGTTTTTCACATTTTTTTCAGAAGTAAAAAGTCCTAACTAATAACACATTTATCGATGTGTAATTGTTTATTCAATCAAGCTTGCGGCCATCATGTCGACTTTCTCTATCAGAATGACCGATGTCCATCAGTGCCAGGTAAAAACAATGGTATCTGAAAGCTTATTTTATTAAACAGTAAACAGATCAAATCCTTAAACTCTGGTACTAGTCCAGTTCAAATAGGTTGAATATTTTGAGAATGGCTTTAAACAGCAAAGATAACTAATCCTTGAACACTGGTATTGGTTCAGTTGAAATAGCTGGAATATTCTAAGTGTGACATTAAACAACACACAGATGTTATGCTTGAACACTGGTAATGGTACTGTGGTGAAAGTGGCGTCAGACCCAGCTCACTCTGACTACGTGTTCATGGTATTGTAGGACGACGACCTCAGTATAGAACATGAGGAGATGGCCTTCGAAGCAGTCACTCATTGGCTTGAACATGACTTAGCGTCACGAAAACAACATCTGGCCAAGCTCCTTTCAGCAGTCCGGCTTCCACTGGTCAGTCCGTACTACCTGCATGATGTGGTGGAGCGGAATTCCACGGTTAATGAAACACCGGCATGTAGGCTGCTGGTGGATGAAGCCAAGGCTTACCACATGATGCCTGACAGACGCACAGAGCTTCATACTGTCAGATGTCGGCCCAGGAGATGTGCAGGTGAGATGATCTCTGTGGGGACCCTGTGCTGGTCTTACAGGGCACTAAACTGATTAATGATCAGACTTGGTTGACAACATGTCTCAAGGCTCTGATTGTTATTATTTTCCAGAGCTCCAGATAAGATTTAGCTCATGTGGGTACTGTACCCACTGTATTTTTTTGGAGTGGGTATTATGAATGTTGAGTGGGTATTTCATTTTCCGTTACCCACTGCTTTCAAATATGTGCGTATTTCAGTCATTTTACTCACCTAAGTATTATGTCATTGAGTAAGTTTACTAAGCAGGTATGTTCTGCCTTATGTCATACCTAATCAAAACCAACTTAAATATAATGGAAATGATTTCATAAAAACTCACACATCCTGTACTGACAGTACAACACTTGTCCTATACTAACAGTACAACTTGATAGCAATCTATGTCTTTTTCATTACACAAGCAATTTTTATAAATACATTCCGTACGCATTTGTTTTGAACTTTTTGCGTATCTAACATTTTAAATGCGTAACTGGTACGCAACAATTATATTTTCAATGCGTAATTGGAAATTTTCTTTGCATATTTTACCCGGATACGCAGCTTATCTGGGCCTCTGATTTTCATTGTTATTGTCTGGTGAGATGATCTCTATGGGGATCCCGTGCTGGTCCTACAGGACACCCAACTGGTAAAGTGATCAGTGTTGGTTGATAGTACATGTCAATGCTGTTGATTGTTGGTATTATTTTCATTGTAAGTGTCTGGTGAGATGATCTCTGTGCTGTCCTAGAGGACACAAACCAATCCTGAACACCACTCATGATTACTCATTATATATATCCTGTTTCTGTTTTTCAGTCATAGTTGAAGTTCTCATCTCAGTTGGCGGAGAGGATGATAGAGTCATCTTGAAGAATGTTGACACATATGACCCAACCACCAACACCTGGAGGACAGTGGGTTGTCTCCCCTTTGCTGTCAGCAAGCATGGCCTGGTTGTGGCAGGTCAGTGAAAATCTCCGAGTGAAAATCTCTGATACTGAGTGAAAATCTGATGCTGTACACAGTTGGAAAACAAAAAATGGACAGTATTTCAGGTTATGTTTAGTATCAGCGTGAGCATTCAGAATACAATTTTTTCACCATATAATGTGCTTTGACACTAAGGTCGAACAGTCCTCAAAAAGGTTTACTCTCATTCTGCCTACATCTCATTCTGCCTACAGACATAAAAAAAGTGTAGGCATAATGAGAAAAATCATGTTGAGCTGAAGAGCCGTACACTGTGAAAGAAATCTTTGTGTTTCAGGGGGAGACTGCCTCTATTTGGTGGGCGGTGAGACTCCTGATGGTGTGGTCACTTCTGATGTGTGGTGCTGTGATTCAACTTTAAATACCTGGAATCAACGCCAAAGTATGAACAACGCTCGGTCTGAACTAGGTGTGTCACCTCAGATAATAACATGTTCAGTGTCACCGGGTGGATTCCCACGAGCAATTTGTGGTTAAAGTTGGGTGAATACACATGAATAATTTGTGGTCTGAACTTGGTTGTATGACTAGTCTGAACTTGCTAAGTTGATATGTATGTCTGGTCTGAACTGGGTGAGTTGACATGTACAACTAGTTTGAACCTGGTAACTTGGTATATACAACTAGTCTAAAGTGAGTGAGTTGGCATGTACAGCTGTTCTGAATTGGATGAATTGACATGACATGAGTGGTTTGAATGTGGTAAGTTGGCATGTACAACTGGTTGGAACAGGTCAAGTTGGCATGTACAACTGGTTGGAACTGGTCAAGTTGGCATGTACAACTGGTTGGAACTGGTCAAGTTGGCATGTACAACTGGTCGGAACTGGTCAAGTTATTACTCAGAAATTGTCATTCACCACTGGTTTTCAAATTTGCTTTGGGTATTCATTATGTACATATGCTCTTGATGAATCAGGTTTGACAAACTGTGATGGCTTCATCTATGCTGTGGGAGGATGGGACGGTCACAGTCGACTGTACTCCGTGGAACGCTACTGCACAACAACCAACACCTGGACCTACGTAACACCCATGAAGATGGCGCTCACAAGCCCAGCAGTTATCTCCCTTGCAGGATTTGTGTATGTCACTGGTATGTGTGATGATAACACTGATGCTGTTATAACTTATTTATAGTGGTGGTGGGCGGTGGGGTAGCCTAATGGTTAAAGTGTCCGCTGGTCACGCCAAAGACCCGTGTTCGATTCCCCACATGTGGTCAGTTTACAAATCATCATAAGACTGCAATTTTTATGGTCAAATTATCCCAACTGGATAATTTTGTTTCCGTTGATAAATCATGTTAATAAAGATTTCCTTTTTCAATATGATCTGAGAAGAAAGTAGTGTTTCCATATAGAGTTTTCCACTGGATACAAACCAACTTCAAAACCGACATAAAGCATATGATTGTCAAAATAATTGTATCTTGAAAACAGTGATATGAAGAGTAAAGTACTGATTTTAAATAGAATTGAATATATTGAAGATGATTAGTTGATGATGAAAGCAGTTGTTGCAATTGACGTTCACCTTCTGAACCTAGGTGGGGCTGTTCTGGAAGATGGCGATGGTATTGACAAAGTTTCTCGGTACAACCCACGCACTGACACCTGGGCAGAGAGGGCGCCCATGTTGATTGCACGGTCAGGGTCCCAAGCATGTGCCCTGAATGGCTGTATCTATGTTGTGGGTGAGTTCTTCTCAGCTCCTGTATATTAAGTTTGAGCATTTCAGACATGAAAACCTTTAAGGATTTCCCCTTGACATGAGAGATGAAGCTTTTACTCAGACTTATATGTGTATTTTAAATTGCATTGTTTATTTTTGACTGCTCTTTAATGCTGAAAAATGGTGTAATGTTATCATATGTGTTTGTATCAGTCGTTTGAATTTTACCTTCTGCAAACTTGGTAAAGAGGCAAACCTGAACTATTCTGGGTGTCTGTTTATATCACGGTTTGTTTGGTTTGCTTGTTGTTTAACGCCGCACTCAGCAATGTTCCAGCTAAATGGCAGCAGTCTGTAAAGAATCGAGTCTGGACCAGACAATCCAGGGATCAACATCATGAGCATGCAGTTTGGTATATGATGACATGTGTCAATCAAGTCAGCAAGCCTGACCACCCGATCTCATTAGTCGCCTCTTATGCCAAGTATGGGTTGCTTAAGACCAATTCTAACCCAGATCTTCACAGGTTATATCACGGTTCAGACAATAGTGGTTGCACTCTCTCATAAAGATTTATCATCAGGCGTAAGGCGAAGTTATTACAGCAATTTGTGCCTCTAAACCTTCGACTCCCCACCACCCGTGAAGATCCTGGTTAGAATTTATCTTCAGTAACCCATGCTTGTCATAAGAGGCGACTAACGGGATCAGGTGGTCAGGCTCACTGACTTGGTTGGCACATGTCATCGTATCCCAGTTGCGTAGATCGATGCTCATGCTGTTGATCACTGGATTGTCTGGTCCAGACTGGATTATTTACAGACCGCCGTCATATAGCTGGAATATTGCTGAGTGCAGCGTAAAGCTAAACTCACTCACTCTCACTCACTCACTCACTCACTCACTCACTCACCACCCCATCCTAACCCCGTTTTAAATGACAAGGCACTAAATAATTGTGTGTTTCCAGGTGGCTGGCATGCGTCCACTGAAAACACCAACAAGATGGAGTGCTATGACCCTGTGACAGACACCTGGTGTCAGAAGGCGTCCATGAATGAGCGGCGATACCGACCTGGGGTGGCTGTGGTCGGGGGCAAGATCTATGTGTGTGGCGGCGAGGAGGGGTGGGACCGGTAAGTGTGTTAGAAGGATCAGTGTGGAAGTGTAAGGCAAGGGTGCTTCTATATTTGTGTGTGATGTTGCGGGGAGGGGTGGGGCCAGTATGTCTGCTACTGGTCTGCTAGAGGAGGGACACAAAGGGGAAGTGATGGGCAAGAAGAAGGATCAGTTGGGATAGTGTGGAAGTGTGGGGCACTGGTGCTTTAAGATTTGTGTGTGATGTTGCGGGGAGGGGTGGGGCCAGTATGTCTGCTAGAGGAGGGACACAAAGGGGAAGTGATGGGCAAGAAGAAGGATCAGTTGGGATAGTGTGGAAGTGTGGGGCACTGGTGCTTTAAGATTTGTGTGTGATGTTGCGGGGAGGGGTGGGGCCAGTACGACTGCTAGAGGAGGGACACAAAGTGGAAGTCATGGGCAAGATTTGTGTGTGATGTTGCGGGGAGGGGTGGGGCCAGTACGACTGCTAGAGGAGGGACACAAAGTGGAAGTGATGGGCAAGATTTGTGTGTGATGTTGTGGGGAGGGGTTGGGCCAGTACGACTGCTAGAGGAGGGACACAAAATGGAAGTGATGGGCAAGATCTGTGTGTGTTGTGGCAAGGAGCAATCAGACTGGTAAGTATGTAACAAGCCAAGCCTTTTACATCTACAGGGCACAACTCTTCCATTAATTGTGTGTACCACAAGGCCATCAGTGTCTTAAACATAATATGACATAAAATAATATTATGAGGAAGTTGACAGCACTAATGTTTCAGCACGGTGAGTGAATGTTGTTTCTGTGTGCAGGTATCATGATACTGTGGAGTGCTACAGTCAGGAAACAGACAGCTGGGAGATCGTTGGGGAGATGCATATCAGCCGCAGCTGGCTAGGTTGTGTTTCCATGGTGATGAGGAAAGACATGGTGGAAGAGAGGTCATTGTTTGAGGAGACACTGCCAAGTCATCTGACAAACAACATTTGATGAAAAGTTTCACAAATTATCTGGCAGCGAACTATCAATTTCCAGTTGACGTCTGCTGTGCTATCAGGGGAGGTAATATAAATCTCTGTGAGCTGAGGCAGTGTATATCTTGAGAAAACTGCTGTGGTCCTCACTAGGTCAATGGGCAAGGTTGGGACACCTCTCCTTTTTTGCAGACACTTTACATGTCCACCCCGCCATGATGTTGCTGGAATATTGCTAAAAGCAAAAACTAAACTCACTCACTACATGTCAACCGTTATGATTAATTTATGTTGACTCTGAGTAGAAACGATCCCCTACGCTGGTACGTAAGAGGTGACATAATGGTTTGTGTGGCATGTGACGTGGATGACATCATGTCATTGTACCCCGATGGCATAGATTGATGCTCTTTGTATCAATCACTGAAGATTCAAGTATCTACAGACAGCTGTTATATGTCATGAACATCAGTGCAAGGCTAAACAACAAAAACACACTTGAAGGAGCATCTCGTTCAGTTTATATTCACTGCATCACTGCATGTGTTGTCCACAGCTGAATCAAAGACCAGACAAACCCATGCCTCAATACTGAGGGATTTCCAGCATCCTTTCACATAGAAATCTAAAACGGACACAGAGAAATAGAAAGAGGTTCCACGGGGATGCAGGATGCAGTGACTTGTATGCATGTTTAGAAATGAATGTACCAGTGACACCCGGGTTAGAATTGATCTTCAGTAACCCATGCTTGTCGTAAGAGGCGAGTAACGGGATCAGGTTGTCATGCTCGCTGACTTGGTTGACACATGTCATTGTATCCCAATTTCATAGATCGATGCTCATGCTGTTGATCACTGGATCGTCTATAGATTATTTACAGACTGCCGCCATATAGCTGGAATATTGCCGAGTGTTGCATTAAACAACAAAAAAAGAAAGAGAAAGAAGTGAATGCTGCTAGTTCATAATTTGGTACTACATAAAATATATTTCTGTACAAGTTCATTATAAAAATACAGTTATAGATTCTTTTCAATTTGGGATTGACGTTTCTTTTTTGAACTATTTGCCTTGGAGCACATGCAGTGTTAAATAATTTGATGTAGAGTGGGTTATTTGATTTTACTGGTTTCTCTGGAACCCCATTGCATGATTAGCAGCCATGAGTTCCCTGTACTTCCTGAATAAAGTATTTTTGCAGGTACTGGTTTCTCTGGACCCCAATCGCATGATTAGCAACCATGAGTCCCCTGTACTTCCTTGATAAAGTATTATTGCAAGTACTGGTTTCTCTGTACCCCCATCGCATGATTAGCAACCATGAGTCCCCTGTACTTCCTTGATAAAGTATTATTGCAGGTACTGGTTTGTTGCTGGCAACGGTTTGTCTGGTCCACATTACGTCATGTGCATCTTGCTGTGAGATCACTCAGATGACTGTAGCTTTGAAGGTATTTCATTAGAAGATTACAATATCAAGTGTTCATACTTTGATTACACACGAGCATGGCCCTGTGCTTCAAAGCTATCTTAGCACTAAATTCTTTTTATTAAAACTGTTTTACTCATAATATTGATAATATTGCGTCTTTGATTATCATATCTATCAATGTATCCAAGACGTATTTATTGTATAGGTATCATTGTTTGAGATCCAGATAGGTGTCATTGTTGGAGATCCAGATAGGTGTCATTGTTTGATATCCAGAAAGGTGTCATTGTATGAGACCCAGGTGGGTGTCATTGTTTGAGATCCAGATAGGTGTCATTGTTTGACATCCAGATAGGTGTCATTGTATGAGACCCAGATAGGTGTCTTTATATGGGATCCAGATCGGTGTCATTGTTTGAGATCCAGATAGGTGTTATTGTATGAGATCCAGATAGGTGTCATTTGTTTGAGATCCAGATAGGTGTCATTGTATGAGACCCAGAGAGGTGTCATTGTATGAGACCGAGATAGGTGTCTTTATATTGGATCCAGATCGGTGTCACTGTATGTTATGTCAGGGCTCCAGATAAGGGCCGTGTATCGGCGTATGTACGGATAAAAAATATGCACGATACGGTAGGAAATAATTTAGAAAACGTCGCAGATACGCACCACAGCAATGGTGTACGGTCTTAGAATCATTTACAGACGTATTTATCTGAAAAAAGTATTGTTTTATTGTTTATTGACCTGTTTACACAAGAGTAGCAATATTGTGGTGCATATATGAAACGAAACACAAGATTACTGACGTCCATTAATTTTCATTCAGTACTCTAAATGTACGCTTAAGGTTTTCCAGTCCTCTTGCATTGAACAAATAAGGAGTACGTACTCCTGATGTTGAAAAAAATTATCTGGAGCCCTGTTATTATCATTCCAGACAAATTAACACCAAACAAACTGACAACTCATTATTTAAGGTTAAACAATTATGAATGAGAGATATTACGCTCAGCCTCTGACTTATAATAATATTAATATTGGGGTGGGGGGGGGGCTATTTTCTTCTTCAAGACCAGGTCATGGCTTAAGGAAATGTATATCAACTCCAGTTTAAATGTAAATCAACTCCCTGTTAATGTAAATCAACTCACCATAAATGTGACTAAACTCCATGTAAATATATATGAACTCTATGTAAATGTAAACAAACTCCCTGTAAATGTAAATGAACTCCCTGTAAATGTATATGGACTCACTCTAAATGTAATCTTCTGAAGCATTGGTTTTCTGGAATATCAACGAGCTCTCTACACTCAACTGAGATATTTCTGAAAATAACTTAAATTTAGTGTTTACAAACCTGCAAATTTGAGCCTTCAGGATTTATCCCACAGTGACTGAAAAGTACTTGGATCTCTAAATAATGTCCTGAGCTCCGCAATGTGATGCAGGGCGGTGGGGTAGCCTCGTGGTTAATGTGTTGGCCCCTCTTGCCGAAGTGCAAGGTTCGAAACCCCACATGGGTACAATGTGCGAAGACCATTTCTGGTGTCCCCGGCCATGATATTGCTGAAATATTGCAAAAAAAAACCGGTGTAAAATCCAACTCACTCACTCACTGTTGTGATACAGACTGATTGCATGGAACAATGATGACTACGAGCTCATGGTCTAAGGGGCGGTGGGGTAGCCTAGTGGTTAAAGCGTTCGCTCGTCACGCAGAAGACCCGGGTTCGATTCCCCACATGGGCACAATGTGTGAAGCCCATTTCTGGTGTCCCCCGCCGTGATATTGCTGGAATATTGCTAAAAGCGGCGTAAAACCATACTCACTCACTCATGGTCTAAAGTTTTGCTGGTAACATTTCCAGCCTGCAATCTGTGGAGATGCATATCTTTGGGATTGTTTCAAGTAACCTAAGCTTGTCATAAGGGTAAATTAAGTGGATTGGAATGTTGATTACAAAATACTGTTGGGTGAAGACTTGATTATTAACAGGATGTTCGATTGATATAAATGAAATATTGCTCTTTTATTTCTGCTTAAAAGTATCAATAAATGGTATACAAACTTATAAACTTATGTAAATGAAAATGGGAACAAATACAAATGGAATTATTTATTAACATGACAGTGTGTATCTGTACAATGACATGACATTCCAAACATGACATGTAAGTACTTGGTGTACTTCAGGTGTTCCGGTGTGGGAGGGAAAGCTATGCTTGTGGCATGTGTCGACGTTTGGGGATTGGATGGTTATATGATAATTGTATGTACCTCGATGTACTGGATCGTTATGTATACAGAGAACCAACAGTCTCTCTATGTCTCCAGTTCAATTTAAAATAATTGACTTTACTGTACTCTTAACGTCACTCTTTTTTCAGCCTTTTGTAGTGTTCTGTTTTATTTAGTCATCAGTGCTGGAGTATTCCCCTGGTCCCTTCATCTAGACATGGAAAGTGAGGGATGTGTTTATATAAGGAGAATGTACATGTATTTATATAAGGAGAATGTATGTGTATTTATTTAAGGAGAGTGTACATATATTTATTTAAGGAGAATGTGTATATTTCTTGCCCGGTGCAATAATACAGAATACCTGAATGTTATTTATTTATAGTACCAGTGTTCAACATTCAAGTATTGTCATTCTTCCATGGTTGCTACATAAGTCATACAGAGATGAGATTATATGAAAGAAGTTACAGGTTAATTTATTGACCATCTGTGGTTATCAATATATGATGTCATGAAATAAACCATCATGTGTTATTTGTGTTGATGTCTTCTTTTGGGTCTCAGAGAAAGAGCTTAATACACACTTCAAGGAAGCCATCATGCAATACCCAGACTGGAAGACCTTGAGTATCATATGCTATCATGTTGATGTTCTCTTTTGGCCCTCAGAGAAGGAGGTTAATACTCACTTCAAGGAAGCCATCATGCAATATCCAGAGACTGGAAGACCTTGATTATCATGTGATGTTGTGTTCATGTTTTCTTTTGGCCCTCAGAGAAGGAGGTTAATACACACTTCAAGGAAGCCATCAAGCAATATCCAGAGACTGGAAGACCTTGATTATCATGTGATGTTGTGTTCATGTTTTCTTTTGGCCAAGCAATACCCAGAGACTGGAAGGAGGTTAATACACACTTCAAGGAAGCCATCAAGCAATATCCAGAGACTGGAAGACCTTGATTATCATGTGATGTTGTGTTCATGTTCTCTTTTAGCCCTCAGAGAAGGAGGTTAATACTCACTTCAAGGAAGCCATCAAGCAATATCCATAGACTGGAAGACCTTGATTATCATGTGATGTTGTGTTCATGTTTTCTTTTGGCCCTCAGAGAAGGAGGTTAATACACACTTCAAGGAAGCCATCAAGCAATATCCAGAGACTGGAAGACCTTGATTATCATGTGATGTTGTGTTCATGTTTTCTTTTGGCCCTCAGAGAAGGAGGTTAATACACACTTCAAGGAAGCCATCAAGCAATATCCAGAGACTGGAAGACCTTGATTATCATGTGATGTTGTGTTCATGTTCTCTTTTGGCCCTCAGAGAAGGAGGTTAATACTCACTTCAAGGAAGCCATCAAGCAATATCCAGAGACTGGAAGACCTTGATTATCATGTGATGTTGTGTTCATGTTTTCTTTTAGCCCTCAGAGAAGGAGGTTAATACACACTTCAAGGAAGCCATCAAGCAATACCCAGAGACTGGAAGACCTTGAGTATCATGTGATGTTGTGTTCATGTTCTCTTTTGGCCCTCAGAGAAGGAGGTTAATACTCACTTCAAGGAAGCCATCAAGCAATATCCAGAGACTGGAAGACCTTGAGTATCATGGGATGTTGTGTTCATGTTTTCTTTTGGGTCACAGAGAAGGAGGTAAATACACACTTCAAGGAAGCCATCAAGCAATATCCAGAGACTGGAAGACCTTGATTATCATGTGATGTTGTGTTCATGTTTTCTTTTAGCCCTCAGAGAAGGAGGTAAATACACACTTCAAGGAAGCCATCAAGCAATACCCAGAGACTGGAAGACCTTGATTATCATGTGATCTTGTGTTCATGTTTTCTTTTGGGTCACAGAGAAAGAGCTGAAATGTGATTTGAGATTGTGATTTTATATCTCGGACGGGGCTATCCTATAAAGTACCAGAAATTGTACTAGACAGTGTAATACTAAGACAGTATTATGCCAAATATAAGTATTGCATTTGGCCACTTTCTAAAAGGCAAATGTGTATTTTATCGTCTCAGTATGTCACTACATCAGAAACGCTTATAATGGATCAACCAAAGTGGAGAAGGTGCCTTTTGGGGATGACAGATGGTTTTATTCACTTAAAGAAATCACATCATTTTAAAATATTTTTAACACCTGCAAAAGTTTCTAGAATGATGAAATTGAAAGAAAATTGACAGATCTTCAGTGTAAAAGGCAGCTGAAACCACATCTGGTTTTCCAAAGGACAGGCTGGTTATGGCTGGAGACGTCACATCTTCTTCAGGACAAGGTAGGAGACAAGGACACACAGGAAGTGCACTGCCAGGAATTGTGTCGCAGAACTGGCACCTGCATGACACAAATAATCTGTAATCCTCTGAGCATCCTACTTGTTAATCTGTTACTCTGTTGGGAGAGATGTGCGGAGGGGTAACCTAGTGGTTACAGCGTTCGAGTCCCCACATGGGCACAACGTGTGAAGCCCATATCTAGTGTCCCCCGCCGTGATATGGCTGGAATATTGCTAAAAGAGGCTAAAACCATAATCAATCACTCACTCACTGTTGGGAGAGGATGTTTTACAACGTGTCTATTAAGCTTTTTCAGTATTAACTGGATCATGCATGGGCGTATGGTGCTAAACGCAAACTATCTACCTGTTCTGTCCATCCACCCAACAAATAACCTACCCCATCCATAAAAAGTCCCATTTGCCCAATCAACATAACTTACCCTGCCTATCATTCCTTTGCTCACTCCAGGAAACGACCACCTGCACTAATCCCCCGAAACCGTAAATGCCCTCTCACAAAAAATCAGCATCTGTCTTGTATACTCGACACGGGACATCCACCCATCAACAACCTCCAACCAACCAACATGTCTCATCCATTCAACAACCACCACACGCCACTTCCAACCACCAACACCCACTACCACATGCTACATCCAACCAACCACCAAACGCCACATCCGCCAAACAACCAACACCACCACCTCCAACCAACAGCCACAACACAACACATCCATCCAACCACCCCACGCCACATCCAGCCAACAGCCAACGAAACAAACCACCACATGTTACATCCAGCCAACAACCACGTGTCCTTACCACTCAGCAGTCAATAGCCCAATACCCAACAATATCCTGACGTAACATATGTTATATTTGGGATTACACTTTCTTAGTAATGGCATTGTGTATTTCACAACAATATCCTGCTACACCTTTCTTACCTCACCGACAGAATATCTGATCCCTTTGACTACCCACTTGTTCCACCAACAAGCACCCATCATCCACACCACCTGCCCAAATGACAACAATCCACTAACACTGTCAGATTGTTTCAGCCACTGTACATCTGTAGAGACCCGTGAAGATCCGGGTTAGAATTGGTCTTCAGCAGCCATGCTTGTCGTAAGAGGCAAATAACGGGATCGGATGGTCAGCTCGCTGACTTGTCTGAATCATGTCATCGTATCCCAGTTGCGTAGATCGATGTTCGTGATGTCAGTTACCGGATTATTTACAGACAGCCGCCATATAGCATAAATGCTGTTGAGCGCGGCGTTAAACAACAAACAAAACAATCAAACAAAACATCTGTAGCGACAGTCTCACCTGAACACGGTATGACTTCTTCACATATCACCCTGCTTTTCCTACTTGCGGCGATTCCTTTCAGCCTGAACATTGCTCCACCATTACTGACGCTAATCGTCGCCCGGTCAAAGTCGGCGGCCATGCTGGGTGTTTGCCAGCGCCCTGCTATTTCACCCTCTGCATTTTGGTTATCACTGGTACTTTGGGCCACCCATGTCCACGTGCCATCGATCTTCTCCAAGCCGACCCAATATTCTTCAAATCCTGTATATCAACATACACGAAAGAGTTCATTTGCTCCGACCAGAGTCCCGACCCACTTAGCGTTCGTTGCGTTATGAGTTGTCGTGACTATATTTTACCACATTCTTGCGAATGACGTAGTGCTACGAACGCTCTGTGGATCGGAGCTCTACGATGTAATACCTACGATAGTCGTTCCAATATTCCATACCTAGATTATAACCGGATTTGATGACCATTTTCATGGTGCATTGCTTCTTTACAAGCTGGAAAGAAGCGTTATTTCCAAGGATTTATTTCGTAGTGTCGCTAATGTAAAATTTCAAGTTAGAGTACACTGATATTTGTAAAACTGGTTGAATGACCATAAAGGACTGAGATAGTGATTTTGTACCAGAGACAAAAGTCTGTTGTTCAAAACACCTGATGTAAGGATATTTAGAGAAAAATATTAATTTCTCCGTTGGTTGGTTTCTAAGAAAAGAATGGCATTCCTGAGGCAGGGACAATACATTATTGTCATGTCTTGATGGTGTTTGGGCGGTGGGTTAGTCTAGTGGTTAAAGCGTTGGCTCGTCACGCCGTGATATTGCTGGTATTGGATTATGTTCATACGTTCAGTCACTGTTTTTCCTGTCACAAACATACTACAGAGAAATACATAGAACACTGCTGACACATTCTCTTTTAAACAAGTTCTGAGAAACGAATGGGTTCTTTAATGGTGCAAGTGAATATTAATGGTAATGGTGGTGTGTGGTCTTGTGCATAGAGCTCAGGTCACAAATCAATTGAAGTTAAGCAAAGTAAACCTTGGATGGGTGAAGGTGTTTGGCAGCTTGACTCCTGAGAGTTTCTGAAAATTCTGCCCTGCCCCACAACGAAGCACATGTGATCTCACCTTAGGTAAGTGAGTTTGTTCAAAATTGCCCCTATTCACCCAGCAGAAAATGGGTACCCGGTGGGATAAGTCATGTGACTATAACCTTCTAGCACCTCACAGGCAGCTTGGGTTATCGGGGACAATATAATGTGCTGTGCTTTGATTGTTAGCGCTATGAGCATACCTGGTGTGGAGTTTAACGCTATATAAATGGACACAAAATTATCTATAATCAATATTACAGAGTTTACCTATTCCGTCGTGGACTTGGCTGGCGAACGAGTCATCCTTCACCCTGACAAGACGTAGACTGTTGACTTCACAGAAGATCTTGGCTTCCGTATAGTTCTTCATACTCTCGACACCATACACACATCGGCCACCTATCTTTGCAGTCAGGAACATCGCCGACGGTAGACTTTGTTGGAACACACGGGTACATCGTGCACTGTCTGTGGATCATAGTATGGACTTGTGTTATCGCCTAAGTCGAAATTATCATGGTTAACCCGCAGTAACACTTTCATACACTCCAATTATTCGGATATCTCAAGTATTGACCCGTGAAGGTCCGGGTTAGAATTGATCTTCAGTAACCCATGCTTGTCAAAAGAGGCGCCTAACTCATGCTGTTGATCACTTGATTGTCTGGTCAAGACCCGATATTTTACAGACCGCCGCCATATAGCTTGAATATTGTTGAGTGCCGCGTAAAACTTAACTCACTCATTCACTCACTCAACCTAGGCATGTGCTGCTGTCGAAGCACACCTCCACATATTCCCTATTTTCTCTGATACGGTGACAATTATGTGCTAATAACTTCAGTGTGTGACACTTCATTCCATTCACATCCTAATAATGTTTATGACTGCTAAAGTAGAAGTATTACAGAAAGGGAAATGCTCTCGGCAGTACCTCATGGGTAAGACACTACTCGCTGGGGTAATTTGCATCAAACTACGCCAGTTCACGTGGGTACTAGTTTTCATGGCTCAAATATCCATCATTCGATGATCGAGTCAGAATTGACCACTGGCATTCTGGACGAAATTTGGGCATGAATGATATGACACCGAAATTCAGCGTTCTTTTGGAACTAATCTCTAACTTTGTGACATAATTAAACATTAATAAGAAGAATGTAAAAACATTACAACAAATAATAAAAGGGAGCCCTAAGACTTTGTGGAAATCTAGATTTTCATGGGCTTTCTTGGATATGTTGGGTCTGTATGGCAGACTAGCGGCAAGGATGTTCCGGCAGTTCTTTGACGTAATGAGAAAGAACATGTCTTTTGATTGTATAGGCACTGTATTGGTTTTACGCCGCTTTTAGCAATATTCCAGCAACGTCACGGCGGGGAACACCAGAAATGGGCTTCACACATTGTACCCATGTGGGGATTCGAACCCGGATCTTCGGCGTGACGAGCCAACGCTTTAACCACTAGGCTACCCCACCGCCCCTAGGCATGCCAGAAGCAGTATCTGCATGTAATACCTTTCCAAACATACCGTCAGTCAATATAAAAGGTTACGTTCAATCGAGCGAAGTACAGACGTGTACAAATGATGTCTTCATTATGTACAGTGTCAAGGCCATTTGAAAGTTTAATCAGATCAAGTCATAATATGTTTCAGGAAGATACCTTTGTACACTGTCTGGTCAGGACACTGGCATTTGGCCAACGACTTCTCCGCCAAGTCCGACTTTTCCATGAACAATATCTAAAAAAATTAAGAAGAAAGTAGTAATTGCCTCAGATAAACAAACATGCAAAGATTTACATATAATATTGTACATCATACGAACAATGAATTCTCTATGTTTACCTGCAACAGTTTGGAAAATATGTTTTGTTTTTTAAACTTTTTATTTTTTGTTTATTTTTTATGTATTTATTTTTTATTATTATTTTTTGTTTCATAATTTTAAAAAAATAAAACAAATTCAGTTTTATTATTTATATATTGATTTTCTGCACATTCTCAGTGACTTGGTTCATTGAATGTCACTTTATGCCAATTGCGTCGATCGATGTTCATTATGCCAATCACTGGATTGTCTTTTGTACAGCTGGAACATTGCTGAGTGTGGGGTTAAACAACAAAAACATAAACAGATTTGACAAAATCTCTGCTTGTGTTTACATGCCAACCTTGTGAGTGTCCATCTCCAAGGCAACGAAATGTTTATCTGTGAAGCCATAACCATCGCCGGCGACCTCTTCCCCTGTGGCCCGGTAACACGTGTCCCCGGCATACGACGACACGGTGACATGGCTTCCTGCAAGCAGTCATTAGAGCATCATGGTTTATCGGTAGTATATTTAACTGGACAAACGATTATATGCATAATCCAATCATGCGCTTACCATTTTGGCGAAACTCAGCAGCGATATGGTGCAGACAAACCTCGGGGCGAAAACGGGTTTAGAACTCCCGATCATAGATTTCTGAAGTGCCAAGGGACACAACTCTGTACAGCGAATTGTGGCGCCCGAGAAGACTCGCGGCCTCATTTTATGATCATATAAGGTGTTGAGAGTTTGTAACAAATCACAAAGGGGAATATCTGCATGTAAAATCTAAACGTCGTGCATGAACAGAAAGGGTATTAGTGGAGGGTATAGTCACGTGGACTTGACCCTTGAGTTGAGTAAGTTGAGATTGAAAGCTATGTACTTGAGAAAACATTACCATAAACAGCGACGCCAGTGGCTACGCCCGTTGTACAGAGACAATCGCCCTTTTCAAAACGGCCACATTTAGAATGTGGGCTTTGATCGACGTCACTGTTCAGTACCCACGCAGTCTGAAATAAGAATGTAAGGCATGATTATAGGTTTAGAGTGTGTATGTACTTAATAAGAGAGAGACGGAGATCGAGAGAGGGGAGGGAGGGAGAGAGAGAGAGAAAAAGTGTGGGGGGAGGAAGGAGGAGCAGGGAGAAAAGGGTGCGGTAGAGAGGAGTATGGAAGAGAAGAAGGTTGTGGAAGAGAGAGGACCAAGGAGGATAATGAAAGAGGGTACAAGATGTTGTAAATGGAGAAATATAGTGTATTCTCAACTGTACCTCTTATGCCGAGTTTCCCGGCCTGGGCGTAATAAAAGTTAAGTTCTGTTCTGAGGAACAAAAGGGTGAGGAGGGAAAGATAGAGAAGGTAATAGATGAGAGAGAGAGAGAGAGAGAGAGAGAGAGAGAGAGAGAGTACACATTGTACCCATGTGGGGAATCGAACCCGGGTCTTCGGTGTGACGAGCGAACGCTACCCAGAAAGAGAGAGAATGAGAAATGTGACGAAAAGAGGGAATATATCTTCTTACAATTAAATAATAGGCATCATATGTTTTCAAAAACCAAAATGCAACTCTAACCAAGTACTAAATAGTTTGTCTCACGTACATCGCCATTGGCCTTTGTCAGTTCAAAAAACCTCAAGTCTGCGTCTCTCGAAAAAGTGGTCCCGTTGTTCACGTCCCCAGTCGCTATGAAGCAATCAGACCTGCTCAACACTTGCGGGGCCACTGAAGGAATTAAAGATGCATCCATAATGACACATTGACATGAATATCATTGGCATAAGACACGTCGGCATTTTAGGTTTGTTTGTGAATAAACACAACAGAATGGATTCCAAATTACGATACAGTTTTGTTGATCATTTCAAACTGCTTCTGGGTCCTGATCCACGAAGCGTTCGTAGCGCTATGATGTTCATAAGCCTATGGTAAACTGTAGAGTTAGTTACGACGGGTCGTAACGTTACGAATGCTTTGTGGATCGGGACCCTGATAAGACTTAGTTATGTGTATTTCAAGAGCTACGACATACACGTTTACAATAAGAATACATGACATTCGTAAGCCTATAGTAAACTGTAGAGTTACGACAGGTCGTAACGTTACGAAGGCTTTGTGTATCGGGACTCTGATAAGACTTAGTTATGTGTATTTCAAGTGCTACGACATCTCAGTTTATAATAAGAATACAATGAGTATTTAAGACGTTGGGAGAGCATGGTGGAGAGTTGAGAGATTGCGCTTAGTGATCCAAAATCAGCGTTCAAAATTAACGTCGGTCCTTAGGCCCGAAGCCTGCTGAAAACCACTCGGACCCACAGTTTTTTTTCTGCAGGTCCTTATGGCCGACAGCTTTTCCATCCCCAATAACTAAGAGTATTATTTTTTAGAATACATCATTCAGTAATTTGTAGTTTAAATTTCTAAATGAAACTCTTAATTTCTTGTCAGTTTTCACATTTGTTTGTTTGCTGGGAATTACTTACATTGTAGTTAAAATATAGGGCCTACATATTCTGATCAGGGCCCTCAACGTTACATGGTTCAGGGTCCTTAGGGCCTGCAGCTCTTCAGTGTTCAGGGCAAATACTGCTCACAATAATGATGCACTTCATACGAGTTTCATGTCTTCACAATGTGTAGTCTAAGACGTTTTTACCTGGCAGAGCAAAAGCAAGAGCCGTAGCGCTGTTCACACACATGCATTTTCCTCGCACTGCACAAAGAAAAAAATGAAACTGAGCATAGGCATGTGAATCACTGAATAGTACGTCCACAAATAAATATGTATCGACCTGAGATAATTTATTCACAAACGAATAGGAGACGGAAAGGGTTGTTGCCGCTACTTACCTGAGCATCCTGAAGCTTGACCTTCACATACTGGACGATAATACCAATTGTCGTTTCCTCCTTTCCATAGGAACTTGTTCTGGTTGAGCGTTGTCATGGTGAATGCCCTGTCGTAGGTATCTGCATCCGGACCGTGTTCCCATCGAGCGTTCGTCATAGCCTCCCCACCTGCACCTCCCCAGCGCCAGGTCCCAGATATCTTCTCCAGGTGCATCCAGTGCTGCATCCAGTCTACAGGGAAGATGTAAGCTTTAAGCATCCTAAGTGGTAAAAAGGATGATGCCATGCTTTGAACCCTTTGAACACACAATAATGAGACCCGTGAAGATCCGGGTTAGAATTGGTCTTCAGTAACCCATGCTTGTCGTAAAAGGCGACTAACGGGATCGGATGGTCAGGTATCCCAGTTGCGTAAATCGATGCTCATGCTATTGATCACTGGATAGTCTGGTCTAGACTCGATTATTTACAGCTGCAATATAGCTTGATTATTGCTGAGTGCGGTGTTAAACACCAGCCAACCACAATAATGAGTGAAACAAGCGAACGCTTTAACCACTAGGCTACCCATCACCAACAACTTTGTACTGCACTATTTCATGTCAGCTTAATACTAATAGCTTACTACTGATTTGGTGAAACCTTCGCGCTCGTTTATGGTTCTGAAATCTGTAACGAACCCTGAAGTACACAATGCCATTTTAGAAACGGGTAAAATGTAACATATGCTACACTTTGTCTATAAAGTACAGATTCTAGTACTTTTGGGGGGGTTGAGTCCCATCCGGGATTCGAACCCACACCCTCAGAGTCAGGCACCCAATCGCCAGCACACAAAGTCAGACGCCTAGACCGCTCTAGACCCCGGCTGTGGTGTCCCGGATGGGACTCAAAACACACACACACCCCAAACACCACCACCGAAATCCTCGCTCCAGTGATTGGTTATATGTCAAGGACTATTTACATAATGATTATTATACCATAATGTATTTATATAGTGCACAAATCCACGCAAGGCGCTAGATTTTTTCCCCTCATTGGATGTCAATCTCAACGGCACACCGTATTATCAATCTCAACTCCCTGGGGATCATACAACTCTTGCAGCCACTAGGCACACCAAATTATTGCGGCTTTCCCATCCTTACGAGGTACCCATTCACAGCTGGGTGGACTGGGACATATAGTCACAGTACTTTGTCCAAGTTTTGCTGCAAGTTGCTGTACCCGCAACTAGGTGTTTGCACGTATTCATGTGGCCACCATCTGGTCATTTACCAACGATAATATCAATCGATATTGAACCATCTTCCAGTTTCAACAGGAAGACGATGATTTGACAGTTTAAAATGTAACAAATTGAAGATATATTTTTTAGGTAGGTGATGTAAATAAAAATCAATATCAGTGGGTTTTTTTACAATCTTATAAAATCTACCCTTTGATGATGCTTCAATATCTGAATGCCATTTTTGTATGAAAAGATCTATAAGGCTATTCTTGACTTGACATTTAATCCAATCCCTATTGACTAATGCATGGTTAATCCATACATCATTATTTCCCGTCTTTATTATTATGTCTCTGATGCATGATAGCCATTTGTTATTAAATGTATTATATGATAAAATATGTAGTAGCATGTTTGCCAGCTTTGAGTATTTTCCTGTGATTAATCTCGCCCAGTAGCATACCATTTTAGTATAAATAACAATAGAGAGTGGTCTTCGTCCTGTCTCTGCATAAATCATATATAATGGTGTACTTTTCTTTACCCTAAGTAATTTCCTTAAATATGTTAAATGGATATTTTCCGTAATACTTAAGTTTTCAAACCCCCATATTTCACACCCATAAGTCAAAATTGGAACGACAAGTAGATCAAGAAGTTTTAACTGGCAAGTAATAGATAGATTGAAATGTCTGGCTTTAGATAAAACGTAGTTCATAGCTTTTAAACTCTTGTCACAAAGTGCTTTCCTAGGGGACGTGAAAGTACATTTCCTGCTAAAAAATTACCCAGATATTCGGATTCTTCAACATTTTGTAAATATGTATTTGATATTGCAAATCTATAAGAATATTCTCTCTTTGTGACATTAAATATCATTACATTTGTCTATATTAATCTTTAACTTCCATGTTTCACAATATTTGCTGAATATACCAAGTTGTCTCTGTAGGTTACATTTAAATGTTGCTAAGACAACAGTATCGTCTGCATATAGCAGTGCAAATAATTTCAAATATATACATAACACATCGTCGTTCAAAACAACACCTTTACATGAGAAAGCATTAAAATATTGTTCAAGATCATTAAGGAATAACGCAAAGAGTAGAGGCGACATATTCTCACCTTGTCTAACACCTTTAAGGCAATAAAAATATTCAGATGAGTGACATTTGGTTGAGACACACGATTTTATACCTTTATACATTGACTGTATAATTCTGAAACATTTACCAGTGATGTTATAATTAATAAGCTTACTCCAGAATCTGATCACTAGCCTTAGACAGCTCGCCAAACACGCCCCCTAATTATAATTTAAACAGACTGATGTTAACTACAACACTGGACATGGTATTGAAAATCGATGACTAAATTAATACTATTAGTGATTTATACTGCTTTTCAATACAGTAAAGCAGAAAGGACACTGACTTGTGGCTTGAAAAACTTTCTTCTGCTTCTGCGGATCCTGTAGTTGTACGAGCCGCAGCCCGTTATCCTCGCAATACGCCCTGGCATCGCTGTACTGCAGTGTGTGGTCGAGGCCGTAGACGCACGTGCTCCCGAACTGAGCCTTTCTCTGACCGTGGCTGTAGCCGACAAGATCCGTGGAACATTTGTCGCTGTCTGGTGAGGGAAAATAAATATGGAGTAAAGACCTTTCAGGTGGAGATATTTCAAAAGTGATAATTAATTCCTGAACAAATTGGCGTTCCCATATAAGGCTGGTGAGTGAGGTGAAATTGGATTGAACGTCAAGTTCACGGGTGCGTGCGTGCGTGTGTACAAGTCTGCAGTCATTCAAGCTTTCTAGCTGTAGTCCAGTGAGATACTATGCAACAGTTTAAAATGGATACCACGCCCAGAGAAATCATACTGACTCCAAGCCGAACTGTCCTGTTTGATCCCTTCCCTTGACCACAAGGCAAGGAAACAACAATAACCATCTTTTAACGCCTTTTGGTTTAACCTGGCCGGGGATTGAACTCCTGTCTCCAGACAGACGCTCTATCTACTACACCACAGAAGCTATTAACCCCGGGAAGGAGTTCTAGGTTTCACTGTATGAGAACGTTCTGCTCCACTTACCTTTAATTACCGTTTCGTCTGTGCACAAGATGTTTGTGTCGCATCTCTCGGGAGAGCTCTGGTTGAGCTTGTCGCTAAGCACCCAAACAGACTGAAACAAGTCACAAAGGAGATGAAGGACTCAGATAACTCTTGGTTTAATGATTTATTTAGACCGCCCCCAACCGTATTTGTTCACGACATTAATTCCACTGGCACATGTCCATAAATACATGCCTGACTATTCCCAGAAAGAGATGTAGAATAAAGACCATCTCGAGATAGCCGTTTTCTTGTTTGTTTGTTTTCTCTCTCAATATTATGAGAAATTTGAGGATTGACTTCTCAGTTCTTCATTACAACATTCCCACATTTAGTAACTGTCCATACAAGCATAATGCCAATCATAGTTTTTAGAAAAAACACCGAATAACATGGTCTGGTCCAGACTACCATGAGTAGTAGGGCTGCGCAATATAACCGGTTTACCAGTATATACCGGTTCAGACATGAAAACGATACGTATTGCGATACGCTGATTGAAAACCGGTATTTTGACATGCATTGGAAAAGACTTCGTAACACTCGGAAATTATAAATTTATAAATTGTTCCTTTCTTTTTTTTATTTGTGTCAAATATTATTTACATTTTTATTTTGTCATGATTAAAAGCTTTTATTAAAGCTTAATCAAGCATGGTGATTTTGTTGTGTTTGTGCTTTATAAATCAAACATTAACTCGATTATAAGTAGTTTTTTGCTAAAAAAGAACTTCTTGCAATATATTGCAATACATATCGCAATATATGCTTTCGCATCGCAATATATTGCAATATGAAAATTCTCTGCAATACCCAGCCCTAATGAGTAGATAGGTATACCCAGCCCTAATGAGTAGGTAGGTTAAATAAATGGTTGCTTGTTGGTTAACACCATATTCCAACTTTGTGCTACCAAATGTCGAATCTGGACTAGACAATCCAGTGACTGCCATCATAAAGATCGATCCATACGACAGCAGTATGATGACAGTTCGATCATGCACAGCTTGACCACTGTATTTTATTAAGTCGCCTCTTACGACAAGAATGTATTTATTCTTACCGGAAATCCCCACGGATTGTTCTGGAATTTGTACTAATTCGTTTACATATCATTCGTGTGGTTTTGAAAGCTATGAACTTACGCCAAGACCTGGTCTCACAAGCTCGTAAAACTCAGTTGAAGCAGTTTGACCGAAGAAATCGCCCGTCTTGCCGCTCCCAGCGCTGGGGTAACATGCTCCACTTAACAAAGTCTGAGAGATACCTGTTAAACAATTAAATAATTTCCCTTTGGCTTGTCCTCGATCAATCATCCTGAATCTTTGTGGTTATAAGCTAGGATTACACTATATAGCCAGTGTACGGAATAGTTTCCAAATTTTGATAGACAGTCGGGCTAGCTATGCCTGAAAGTTAATAGCCCACACAATAATTCACCAGCCGGAAATTTGAATGTAGACAAAGTAAAGTGTTTTATAACTTAACAAGTCGGAGAGAGTGATATATTTACAAAATGACCCCTTGAAAATTCACCAGACAGTCGGGCCAGTGACTGTGGAGATTTACTGACCCGACTGAATTTCTACTAGCCACGGGCTAGCGGGCAAGTGGTTATTTCGCACACTGTTATATAGCTAACACATACTATATACAAGACGGGCATATTCAATACAAGGTGTCACAACTATTGAGCTAAAGGTGATAGATAGTCTGACAGTGTTACAGGGACATCTGACAGAGTCGTTGAATGTCAGATAACCAAAGATTTTGTTAGACGTCATCACTCCATCACGTCATTTACCATGGAAGTCATCAATATCATTAATATCTCGCAAATTCTATTCTATTCTGAACACGTGTGATTCCGAATTTTACCCTGACTATATAATCAGTAAATACAGGTACGTTACGTATCATTTACCATTCCATCAGTCGGCGAAATAATAATGCATGAACATTTCAAACATTTGAAAGAGCAGCCGAAGAGTCAATAACTGTGACCTTAACTGAATTTGACTCTCGGTGAAAATCTATGGAAAGTTTATGATTCTATGTCTACTTTGGATCATTTGGTTTATATGCATTTACCTGTGCAAGATGTGTTGACGAACACGATAACCATGTGAGATATTTGACTTAGAGTAACTGATTTATAGTACAGTGAAATCTTATTAACTCGAATTTGACTATCCTGACATATGTTTCAAGAACATGGTACTTAATGGACCGGTTTATGCCTATCAGCAGTGTAGGCTAACATATATATTACTCTGTTTGTCTCGAAGTACGGATAACTCGATATGTATCTATCTCCAGCAGTTTTGGTGCAGATGGAGAAAGGATGTACGATGGATTATACCTACCCGAGAAAGAGAAGGCTGGGGCAAGGGCTTCGGTGATGCACATGCACGTACCAATAGTTGGACCAGCTGTGATAAAGAAAGGTTTATGATTGTTGAAATATCAAAATAAGTGTCTATATCACCAATACCCGACAGACGTTTACAACTGGAAATGTCTAATATACTCTCCCAAACAAGAAACGCATCATGAAAATAGCAATTTCATGAAGCAATGAATTAAAACATGATTCATTTTACAAAAGGTTTTGCTCTGTTTATGAATCCTATGGTGTTTATTTTTTGAAACATCACAACAAAACGCACCAACCGTAAAATACCCGTATTTAACAGCATGATTTTCAATTTCGGCGTGTAGTGTCACAGAATACACAATTCACATGCAATGCACGTGAAAGTTGGGGATAAGATAGTCTCAATGATGGGTATAAAAGGTTGATCGCTGTCTGTCGATTATTCACTGTATTTATAATATTGTTGACGAACGCAAAATGCCACGTCTAAGTGAAGCCAAGTTAAGATTTTAAGTCACATCGGCAATATTTCAGCCATATCGTGACTGGTTTGCTTGAAGCTGGCCAGTCTCAACGTGCAGTTGCCCGACGGGTGAATGTTCACCAAAGCACCATTTCACGGCTCTGGGAGAGATATCGCCGGCAGAATGCGGTAGCAGATGCCCCTCGTAGTGGGCGACCTCGAGCGACCACTGCGGCGCAGGATCGCTACATCCGGGTACATCATCTGCGTCATCGAACAGCTACGGCGACCAGTACCGTTCGACAAATACCCGGATTGAGGAGGCTTTCTGCACAGATCGTCAGGAACAGGTAGAGAGAGGCTGGTTTACGTGCCAGAAGACCTTATTTTGGCCCTGTGCTTCGACAACAACATTGTCGACATTGAGTTGAATGGTGCACCAACGTTCAGGCCTGGAACCTACCGAATTGGCGTAGAATCTGGTTCAGTGATGCATCACGATTTCTATTGGAACGTCGCGATGGAAGAATGCGGGTTTACAGACGTCGACGTGAACGTTTCGCCAATGCTTGCGTTCCCCAGGTGGACAGATTCGACCGGGCCAGTGTTATGATGTGGGGAACGATCACCTGCCGTAGGAGAAGTGATTTGGTGATGATCCAGGGCAACCTGACAGATCAACGGTACTGTAACGAAATCCTACGCCCACACCTCCTTCCAATCATTGTTCGCCAGAGGGAGTTGTTTCAACAGGACAATGCCAGGCCCCACACAGCACGTCACACTAGAGACTTCCTCTTTTTTAGGAGTGTATAATATAAGGACATCCTTTTTCCTGTCTTAATAATTCAAGCTAACACAGTCATCAGTGAGAGGTTCATGTAGATTTGACAGCACTTCTGAAAATATGTTTTGGTTACGTTCTCTCACTGAAACATATACTCTCCCAAAAAAGAAACGCATATTGGAATTTCAACTGTATTTTTATATTTATTTTGAAACATCTTGAAGGCTTTATGAGTCAATGAAATATAGCGAAACTGCACACTGGGAATGCAGACTTTGGCACCAACTCGAGGAAAGTCAGTTTGAGTGTCACATGGAGACGTGTGGTGGCGCTGAAATCAATACCTCGTGTGACCACTGTGGGCATCCAGAACTGCACGGCATCGCCTCGGCATCGAACGAATAAGTCTCGTGTTGCCCAATCGCAGCCCACTCTGCCTGTAGTGCCTGTGCGAGTTGCTGAAGTGTCTGGGGTTGAGGGTTACGGCGTCGCACCCGTCTGTCCAGGGCATCCCACTGATGTTCGATCGGGTTTAAGTCCGGTGATCTTGAGGGCCAGGGGAGCACATTGATGTTGTGGTTCTGGAGGAAGTCTCTAGTGTGACGTGCTGTGTGGGGCCTGGCATTGTCCTGTTGAAACAACTCCCTCTGGCGATCAATGATTGGAAGGAGGTGTGGGCGTAGGATTTCGTCACAGTACCGTTGAGCTGTCAGATTGCCCTGGATCATCACCAGATCACTTCTCCTACGGCAGGTGATCGTTCCCCACATCATAACACCGCCCCGGCCGAATCTGTCCACCTGGGGAACACAAGCGTTGGCGAAACGTTTACGTCGACGTCTGTAAACCCGCATTTTTCCATCGCGACGTTCCAATAGCAACAGTGATTCATCACTGAACCAGATTCTACGCCAATTCGGTAGGTTCCAGGCCTGAACGTTGGTGCACCATTCAACTCAATGTCGACGATGTTGTTGTCGAAGCACAGGGCCAAAATAAGGTCTTCTGGCACGTAAACCAGCCTCTCTCAACCTGTTCCTGACGATCTGTGCAGAAAGCCTCCTCAATCCGGGTATTTGCCGAGCGGTACTGGTCGCCGTAGCTGTTCGATGACGCAGATGATGTACCCGGATGTAGCGATCCTGCGCCGCAGTGGTCGCTCGAGGTCGCCCACTACGAGGGGCATCTGCTACCGCATCTGCCGGCGATATCTCTCCCAGAGCCGTGAAATGGTGCTTTGGTGAACATTCATGCGTCGGGCAACTGCACGTTGAGACTGGCCAGCTTCAAGCAAACCAATGGCGATATGACGGTTGGCTTCACTTAGACGTGGCATTTTGCGTTCGTCAACAATATTATAAATACAGTGAATAATCGACAGACAGCGATCAACCTTTTATACCCATCATTGAGACTATCTTATCCCCAACTTTCACGTGCATTGCATGTGAATTGTGTATTCTGTGACACTACACGCCGAAATTGAAAATCATGCTGTTAAATACGGGTATTTTACGGATGGTGCGTTTTGTTGTGATGTTTCAAAAAATAAACACCATAGGACTCATAAACAGAGCAAAACCTTTTGTAAAATGAATCATGTTTTAATTCATTGCTTCATGAAATTGCTATTTTCATGATGCGTTTCTTGTTTGGGAGAGTATACATCTCAAACATAATACATATGTCGACTGAAGCCATTTGTATGATACAACATTATAATCATTGGGAGGATATTTTGATTAACAACATATTGATATCATAATTGTAAACCAAGACTAACGGACTCTGTCAGAGATGGATATTTACTGCAACACAAGGTACCCGTATTACGAAAAGATCGCAGCGCTACGACCGTCGTAAGTCTGTTTTAGTATTGGAGTTACGGTGGGCATTGCGGTAAGGTCGCATTGTGCCAGGGCCCCCAGTTTAACACCAGGGTTTTACAAAAATATCGCAGCGCTACGACCGTCGTAAGTCTGTTTCAGTATTGGAGTTACGGTGGTCATAGCGGTACGGTCGCATTGTGCCAGGGCCCCCAGGTTTGCACTAGGGACCCGTTTTACAAAGAGATCGCAATGCTACGATCGTCGTAAGTCTGTTTTAGTATTGGAGTTACGGTGGGCATTGCGGTAAGGTCGCATTGTGCCAGGGCCCCCAGTTTAACACTAGGGTATTACAAAAATAACGCAGTGCTACGACCGTCGTAAGTCTGTTTTAGTATTGGAGTTACGGTGGGCATTGCGGTAAGGTCGCATTGTGCCAGGGCCCCCAGTTGAACACTAGGGTTTTACAAAAATTTCGCAGCGCTACGACCGTCGTAAGTCTGTTTCAGTATTGGAGGTGGTCATAGAGGTACGCTCGCTTTGTGAAAGGGCCCCCAGATTCGGTCACCTACCTTAAACGACAATCCGCCACTAACAGATCCTATATTTTTGACATTAGGGTAACATTCCATTCAATCAGACATTTACCAATAGTCTCCCCTTGTTCTTGACATACGACCCTTTTCGAGGTTTTCGGGTTCGAAATACTCTTGAGATTTGACCGTTGTACAAAAGCGTACGTATTGTTGCTCTCCCCATCCCAACGTCCCACAACGTCACTAGAGGCGTCAGCGTTGTTGTCGTCGTTCGGTGAAATCCACACCCACCTTCTTCTTTTCAGTTTTAGGCCAATCCAGTACTCTCTAAAATCTGCAGAAGTATAAGTGAGAGAGTAAGTGTTCGGGTGTGATTAAACGCGCGAGATATTTTCTATCTATATGGCGGCGGTCTGTAAATAATCGAATATGGACCAGACAATCCAGTGATCAACAGCATGAGCATCGATCTGCGCCATTGAGATACGATGACATGCACCCAAGTCAGCGAGCCTGACCACCCGATCCCGTTAGTCGCCTCTTACGAGAAGCATGGGTTGCTGAAAACAAATTCTAACCAGGATCTTCACGGGCCTTGGTGTGTAAGGATATAACTGAAATATGTACTTAACTTCAGTTGACCCTTTGAGAGCTGCCTAACCATCGGAAACATGTGGGTATTATCGTTTTACACCGCTTTTAAAATTATTACAGCAAAACCACAGCCATGAATACCCAAGATAGTATTTATAAATTGTACCCATGTGGAGAATCGAACCCATGACAGCGAACGCTGTAACCACTGAGCTACCCCTCCAGTCGAATCAGTTGGTTGGTTGGTTGTTTAATGCCGCACTCAGCAATATTCCAGCTCTAACAGGTCTGTAACAATCCAGCCTGGACCAGACAATCCAGTGTTTAACATCATGAGTATCGTTCTACGCAATAAGGATACGATGACATGTCAACCAAGTCAGCGAGCCTGACCACCCGATCCCGTTAGTTGCCTCTTACGACAAGCATGGGTTACTGAAGACCAATTCTAAGCCGGATGTTTGCGAGTATGTTGAGAACAGACATCGAATTGTTGCCTAATAAGACATGATCTTAAAAATCTAACATGATCTTTTCATTACTTGTTGCAGCTGTTATTTTTCTCTGGGTTCTCCGTGTTTCCACCCAGGCAAGTCTCAGTCCCTTGTCCTCGCACAGAGCTCGAGCAGCCTCTGGTCTCATGTTGGTGTTGATGCCGAAGATACACCTGCCTTCAACCACGGCTTCAACGACACTTTCCGAGAAATACACCCGGCAGCCATTGGCATTGACAGTCGTTGGTTCTGATGAGAAAGTGAATGAGTGAGTTTAGTTTTACGCAGCATTTAGCAATATTCCAGATATATGGCGGCAGTCTGTAAATAATCGTGTCTGGACCAGACAATCCAGTGATCAAGAGCATGAGCATCGATCTGCGCAATTTGGAGCCGATGACATTATGTCAACCAAGTCAGCGAACTTGACCACTCGATCCTGTTAGTCGCCTATTACGACAAGCATGGGTTACTGAAGATCAGTATTCTAACCCGGACCTTCACGGGATCTTATGAGAAAGATAAGGTACAGACAGAAATGGTATGTTTCTTTTACGAAGCAGCATTCATCAATATTCCAACTATAAGATGGCAGTCTAAACCCTTGACTATGGACAATACAATCCAGTGATTGACACCATGAGCATCGGCAATTGGGATACGATGACATGCATCAACAGAGTCATCAAATATGACCACCCCACGCCCTTAGCATTATCATACAAAAAGCATTGGTTGCTGAAAACCATTTGTAACCCGGATGTTCAAAGTAACATATGGCCATGAATAAATAGTTATTTTCCAATATGTATATGTGTCGTATCTCCTTATTGAGAGGCGGTGGGGTAGCCTAGTGGTTCGCTCGTCACGCCGAAGACCCGGGTTCGATTCCCAAAATGGGTATAATGTGTGAAGCCCATTTCTGGTGTCCCCCGCCGTGATATTGCTGGAATATTGCTAAAAGCGGCGTAACACTATTCAAAGTCACTCACTCTCACTTCGCGAGAAATGAATGTTATTATTACTTGCATCTGTGGGGGAACAGTATACACATCCTGTTTCTTCAAAAACAATATGCTGAGCACCACTAACTAATAGTTCCTTGGAAGTAACCAAAGTCATACAGACATGGGAAATATGGTAAATATGAAACGCCAAAGCAAGAGAAAAACAGGTGTCTTGGAAACCGATTCCAATTAGCGTGAAGGTCGGACGAGTGAGAAAACGTTTATAAATGGGTCCCTGAAAATCAGTGCTGACACCAGGTGTCCGTGAAAGGGGTAAGTATGTTCTGTTCTATCGGTAGCACCCTCCTTTCACACAATTTGTAACGAACATCCCCAGATAGTCGCAAGTTCTAGGTCCCTCCATACAATACCAAGAAATAGAGGAATAGTGAGTGAGTTTGGTTTTAAGCCCCTTTTAGCAGAGTTCCAGCAATGCCATTTCGGGGGACACCAGAAATGGGCTTCATACATTCTGCCCATGTGGGAATCGAACCCGGATCTTGGGCGTGACGAGCGAACGCTTAAACCACTAGGCTACCCAACCACCCTGACCTGTCTGAGATGACCCCTTTTCTACATATAGCTGACAACAATATATGTCAACACTTGTTACATTGTACTTTCTACACACTTACAGTCTGTTTGTCTTCAAATCAGAACGATGGATTGCAAAGTAACTCAAAATCGGGAATAGTCAAGTAAATGTACGGTACATGGCAATGAATACCCTGTTCCCAACAGTATTTGCTGTTTCAAATTTTAATACCCATCATTGATCATGACAGAAAGAAATAATACACCCCAACAATAAACTGTTTCACTTCAGCTGAGTGACGCGTCTTGTCAGTCAGCCATTATGTTTTCCATGTATCGCGTGCAGTACGTGTTTGCCCATTCCACACCAATTCTTAGTTAAACAGCAATTTCCTTCTCATTTGGAGTCAAGTGGTCTTAAGGCCAAGCATATCCATCTCAAAACCGAAATAACTCTTGCAATTTGTTTCCAATAAGTTTAATACAAAAGTTCCCTCATCAAAATCATAATTGTAAATGTGTCCTCAGCCTGCTTGTTTCCGCAGACCTACCAGTAGTGCAGTTCCTTCTGGCTCCTGCATCCAACTGGGTGCTAAGTACCCACACCGGCTGTGAAACAATGGATACATCATTAGCATCATCATCACCATATTCATCATCATAATCGTCGTCATCATCATCATCGTAGTCAGTCCAAAAACTCCAAATGAAAACAGTTCCATGGGAATATTTCCCCAAAAGGAAATATACACAAAGAACTTAATTAAGCACTGTGTGAAGTCCATTTCTGGTGTTCCCCATGCCGTGATATTGCTGGAATATTGCTAAAAGCGGCGTAAAACTAAACTCACTCACACTCACCCCATCAAGTGTTCGAAACCACCAAGTATAACCTCCAACTTCAAGGGCGTAGCTACCATTATAAAACAAAAGCCCGGGCTTACACATGAATTTTGCTAGAAAAGATATTTTTCTAATTCTTGCCAAAAATACATATTAACACGTTATCAGAACAACTTAAAAAATTGTAATCCCTCTATGAATCATATTGACTACAATATCCTTTGAAAGCAAAGAATTACCAATACAGTCATCATGTACAGTAAACATGTTTTTCTTCGCATCATAAATTTGAAAGGTGTCTTTCTTTCAGTGATGATTGTATTTCCATGGACATGACACTAGTACTGTTTTGTTAGTCATGATTAAATGTGAATCATAACTGACATGCAGATATTTACAGTCGCCCTTCAACAAAAAACTTAAGCGTTACTTCATTCTGTAGTCGTTCTGCGGGTTTTTAGGTACAACCTATCGGGCTTACACGTTAAAATTGGTTTGCTACGCGCCTGAGCTTGTAATCGGTTTCCCTTTTATGTTATCAAGGCTTATGCCTGATTGTAAAATAAAGGCTCTTACATTCAGACCCGGTCGGTTCACTTCGTAGAAAGAAAGGGTTGCCGAGCTGCCGAACAGATCACCGGTTCGGACCCTTCCAGTCGCAGTCAAACAGGTTGACAGAGAAACCGCTTCAACACCCCCTGTATCAGATATAGGACATACACGTGTCAGTTTGGTAAAATATATTGTCTGCTTATAACAACTGAACGCAATGTTATGCATTTATAGCGACAGAAGGGTAGAGTTTGCGTTTTTGTTTTTCCGTACTTATTGAATTTCTCGGAAAACTAATTAATGTGACTGACCACTATGTTGTTGTTATATTGAACCAACATTGAGCTTTGTAACGCGCATTCTGATTGGTGCATTAACCCTTGTCACCTACCCAATCAAATTAGCAAACGCAAATCATAGGCGGGTAATTGGGTATTTAGAGAACTATGGAATATACATTCTCTTCCCACAGAGGTTACTCCTGTCATATCTTCCTACGTAACCTCTGTTCTAATACGGCCATATTTCCCGGTTCTCGTAAAATCCCCTAGCGGCAAAAGATCGCAACACGAATTATCTCCCTTCTTTCTATCCAATCAGAACACGTGTTACATCGACTTAGATTCAACTTGACTAACACAAGCAAATGTGGGGCCACAAATATCCCCCCATCTGCCGGGGACTTGTGTTGATGTTACACACAAGACGTTTAATGGCTAGCTTGTCCGTTGTCAACGAGGGCGATGGAGACGCCACTGATCCGCCATAACATGACTGAGTTCTGTCTAGAAGAAACGTTTGCGCATTGCGCAGGGGAAGAAGTTTAGTTTTCTCGAAGCATACGGAAATTACCGAGGCCTTGCGAATGATCACTTTTGAAACAACGTCGCTGATTGCACAACTAAATCTGATTGCCTCCAATCACGAGTCTTGAACGCTTACACCATGAAAGGGCCGTATTAGAACAGAGGTTACGTAGGAAGATATGACAGGAGTAACCTCTGTGGGAAGAGAATGTGGAATATAGAGAACTATAATTATATCCTGAGGTAAGGGAAGCTTTACCACACGCGACCCAGGTGATACAGAGGCTGAAGCTCGACTTCTGTGACAACGCTTTTGTATTCTTATACGTGCCAGCTCTCGCGCATTTGGCCTGAGACTCACGCTTTTATAAGGGGGATTTTTCAGGGCATTATCATTTGCAGAAGCCCGAGGTCTTTCATTAACTGCACGACGAAAGGACTGGGTTCATATGAGAAATAGAAATAGAAATCTGTTACAAATCAGACATTTATGTCTGTTCTCAAGACAAAACTACAAAATTTAATTTGAGACTGGGTTCCTGTGAAAAATTTAAATACAACCCCGTTAAAAAGCACACAAAAAAGGTCTCAGTACATCGTTTCCAGTGATTTTTCTGAGAATGCAATTGACAATTATTCGTTGGCTTCATGGGGGATTTCAGGACCCAGTCGTGGAGAACAGCCCTTGGACTCCCTGATCTCAAGCATTTTTTACTCTTTTCCGGTCGGAAGCTCAGTATTCTACGACTACCCTCCTTATCTAGACTGCTGAAGCCGCAGGTAAATATGTGACATTTAAACACGCACTTTTATATATTAATAATAATAATGAGTCCACATATATAGCGCCAAACTCCACCCCAGGTATGCTTATAGCGCTAACAACGAATAGCATACCACATTATTACCCCGGATAACCCCAAATGCCTGTTAGGCGCTAGAAAGTTATAGTCACATGACTTATCCCACCGGGTACCCATTTTCCGCTGGGTGAACAGAGGCAGACAAACTCACTTGCCTAAGGTGAGACCACATGTATGACATGTGCTTCGTTGTGGGTCAGGACTGAAGTCCTAGAAAATCTCAGAAGTCAAGCTGCCAAACACGGTCACCCATCCAAGGACTCTCCGTGCTCAACGTTGCTTTTCCTCCCTTGATTCGGGACCTGAGCTCTATGCACAGGACCGCACACCACCACAGTTACTTTGATATCTATCAAAGAGTTGCCTCAGAACCTGATCAAGAATAATCGAAAGTATTTAGTTTACTCAACCTGAATCAGGAAAGGCCGGGGCAGCATCGGTGTTCACACAAAGACAGGACCCGGCAGAGGGAGGAGGGTCTGAAACGAGAGAGAAACGTAATGTTTAAGTATCGCTTTGGCTGTGACACCTATCAGCGGTTGATATGTAGTGAGCAAATGCGAGAGTTTAGTTTTACGCCGCCTTTTGCAATATTCCAGCAATATCACGGCTGGATACACCAGAAACTGGTTTCATTCATTGTACCCATGTGGTGAATCGAACCGTGTGTGACGAGTGAACACCCCTATCAATAGTATAGTGAGTGACAGAGTTGGGGTTTACGCCACTTTTAGCAATATTCCAGCAATGTCACGGCTAGGGACACCAGAAAGTGGCATAACACAATGTGCCCATGTGGGGAATCGAACCCGGGTCTTCGGCGTGACGAGCGAACGCCTTAACCACTAGGCTACCCAACCGCCCCTATCAGTAAATCGATATTTTATCTATAATTGATTAGTAAGATCGATCGTTCATTACTGGAGTGATTGAGTGAGTTTAGTTCTACGCCGCAATCAGCAATATTCCAGCTATATGGCGGCGGTCTGTAAATAATCGAGTCTGGACCAGACAATCCAGTGATCAACAACATGAGCATTGATCTGCGCAATTTGAATATAATGACAAGTGTCAACAAAGGCAGCGAGCCTGACCACCCGATCCCGTTAGTCGCCTCTTACGACAAGAATGGGTTACTGAAGACCAATTCTACCCAGATCTTCCTGGCCTCATCACTGGATGGACACTTTTACCTGGCGGTGCAGTCATGATGCATACATGGTACAAGTACAGATTGATGACAGCGATAACAGTACCTATATTCTTACCAGAGTTCGCAGCCGCTCACTCGTATAATGAACAATATGACGAAAACAAATCAAAATAAGCACAGGCAAATAATTCAGTGATGAGTACGTCAACAAGTAAATGTGTATCGACCTGAGATAATTTATTCACAAACTAATAGGAGACGGAAAGGGTTGTTGCCGCTACTTACCTGGGCATCCTGAAGCTTGACCTTCACATACTGGTCGATAATACCAATTGTCGTTTCCTCCTTTCCACAGGAACTTGTTCTGGCTGAGCGTTGTCATGGTGAATGCCCTGTCGTAGGTATCTGCATCCGAACCGTGTTCCCATCGAGCGTTCCTCATAGCCTTCCCACCTGCACCTCCCCAGCGCCAGGTCCCAGATATCTTCTCCAGGTGCATCCAGTGCTGCATCCAGTCTGTAGGGAAGATGTAATGGATGTACGCAAATGAAAGGATGATAATATGTTTTTAATAACATACTAAAAATAACTCTTTGCTTTATGTAAATATCATTAAATATTCTGAAACATATAGCTGGAATATAGCTGAGTGTTATAACAACAAACAGACCAAAAACAATACAACGCCACTATGTCTTCATACTATCGGGTCTTCTTCAAAGAAAGGGTGCTATCTGGGTGTAACTTACTTGTCGCCTCGAAGACCTTCTTCTGTTTATCAGGATCCTGCAGTTGCACTAGTTTGAGCCCGTTGTCCTCGCAGTACGCCCTGGCGTCCGTGAAGGTAAGGTTATGATCAAGACCATAAATACAGGTTCCGCCAATCTGAGCCTTTACTGTATTGTCAGTGTAGGTGGACACGATGTTTGCTGTGCACTTGGAGCTGTCTGGTTAGGGTAAAGAAACAAAACATATGTTTACTAAGCTTGCTGTTTGTATAGGATACATTTTGTATATCTTCATTTATTTATTTATTTTTATTTTGTTTTATTTATTTTTTTATTATTATTTATTTTATTTTATTTTATTTATTTTATTTTATTTTTTATTTTATTTTTTTTTGGGGGGGGGGATGTTGGTTGAGGGTTGTTTCTATTTGAGTTTGGTTTTGGTTTTGGTTTTCTGTTGTTTGTTTGTGTATGTGGCTTTGTGCTCTGTAGTCTTTACTGTGTGTTGGTTTAATGAGTTCATTGTGAAAGTGTAGGTAGGAGGACAACGCCTGCGCCTTTCTGTAGACCCACTAGCACGGACAGGATCTAAGGATCATTATCAGACCGAATCAGATTCGAACCCACATTCAGCCTGATCCAAATCAGATGTCAGGCGATGATAATAATGTTTCTCCCAACGGACTTTCATTATCAAATTAAATTTTCGAAATCGAAATAAACATCTAGTAGTTTATTATCTACCCCTCTAAAAAGATTATCTTGAAACTAAACTGACGTTCAGAAGAAAGTACACAGTCACCTGGTTCTTTGGTAAAATGTTTTCTTTTAAACAGCATTAATATTTTAAAAAGTGTTTTGATTCTGCCTTGTCACAAACATTGTGCAAGTGTTTCCAAAACACCAGATATTGTACCCAATTACAACATTGCTAGCGAAATATTTAATGGAAATAGTCCCAAAACACCAGGTGTGCACTTTCTTATGAACGCCAGTATAAATCCGTCTATGCTCCCTAAACATTTTCATTAAAAGGTGAGTGGGTGAGTTTAGGTTTACGCCGCACTCAGCAATATTCCAGCTATATGGTGGCGGTCTGTATATAATCCAGTCTGAACCAGACAATCCAGTGATCAACAGCATGAACATCGACCTACGCAGCGAGTCTGACCACCCGATCCCGTTAGTCGCCTCCTACGACAAGCATGGGTTACTGAAGACCAATTCTCACTTGTTTATTGAACCAAGGATAGAGAATAAGCATATGACCTCCCCGAAACAATGTAAAATGTCATAATGTGATTTACTATTGGCTTCATCGCCACTAGGAACATAGGTCTGTTTGACTGTTTGAACTTTATAGACATTTTGGGGACGACAAAGCGGGAAAGAAACATATTTCAAAGCTAAATATGTCCCATTGTGGAACGGTATCCCTGTCAAGAATTGATTAAAGTAAAAGGTGACAACATGGCAATTGGTTGTGACCCTTGGTTAATCTTGACGCAATTTCTTTGGTTTTGTAAAGAATGCAACGACACAACGTCCATAAAGTCGTAAAAGGTAAGTCATTTGCGCTTCACGAAAGAGCCAATCGACTGATCAGTATCATGAGCATCGTTCTACGTAACTGGGATACGATGACATGTGTCAGCCAAATCAGCCTGCTTGACCACCCGATCCCGTTTGTCGCCTCTTACGACAAGCATGGGTTACTGAAGATCAATTCTAACCCGAATCTTCACGGGAGGAACAGAAAAGGACGTCCACGTGCCTACCTGGTATCACCACATCCAACGAGCACTGTCCGGGACATGCGGATTCGCCTCCCAAACTTGCCATTGACGTAGGTACCTCCACGTTCTGAAAGGGGAATTCTTAGTGGCGATAATCATTAAATATGAAGGCAAGTATTCATAATCATAATCATAAACTACCAGAATATACTATAAATGCTGAAACCATTAGCTGGGACTCTTGCTACATTCCATCTTGGATCCCCAGTGAGTGCGTGCGTGAGTGAGCAGGTGAGAGTCGAAGTGAACAAGTGTTTGATTTATTGCCGCTTTGAACAGTATTTCAGTTAAATCACAAAATACCAGAAATTTAGCTTCACACATTCTACCCGTGTGGGGAATCGAACTCGGGCTTTCGGCGTGACGAGCGAACGCTTAAACCATTAAACCATTAGGCTATAATAATTAGGGTATTCGGACCCGAGTTGAAAGTTTTCTAGGATCACACACAGAGAGAGAGAGAGAGAGAGGGGCTCCCCTAAGGCAAGTCTTCAACTCTTTGAAGTATGAACGATCACAACTGAAGAATAATTTGTGTAGAAATCGGACAATGGGTTGAAGTGGGGACCTACTCAGCCGTATATAAGGCTGACGTTCTATTCTTGTGGTGGCCGACTAGCCTAGTTTCTGAGACCACAGTATAGGGACAAGATATGCCATGTTAATGTGTTTATAAACACGTTTGTGTTTATGTCTGTGTTGACCTTATCTAGTAACTATTCAGCGGTGCATTCAGACTGGGCTCTTGTGTATTGACGACGTTATCAATACTGGCAACTTACTTGGTCACGTTCTGCTTACAAGATGATACTACCAATTGAGCCTGCGGATGGCGCAGCAAAGATCTCAAACCAGTCAAGATTTCTTGGATATCATCCGGGTACTAAAACATCAATCCGGGGAATTGCCCTTAATCAGTGCCCCTTTAAAGCGTTCACTTGTCACACCGAAAACCCAGGTTCCATTCACCACATTGGTACAATGTGTGAAGCCAATTTACTATGTCCCCCGCCGTGATATTGCTGGAATATTGCTAAATGTGGCTAAACTCATTCACTCACTCTTGTGATGTGGGTGAAATAACGCCAAATTCAGAGTTTTACCGAACTTAGTGCCCCTTGCAATCAACATTTAGATCCCGTGCAGGCTCTCTGATCCAAGACCCGTGAAGATCCGGGTTAGAATTGGTCTTCAGTAACCCATATGCTTGTCGTAAGAGGTGACTAAGATCGGGTGATCAGGCTTGCTGACCGTATCCCAATTGCATAGTAAAATGCCCATGCTGTTGATCACTGGAGTATCTGGTCCAAATTCGATTTTTTACAGACCGCCGCCATATAGCTGGAATATTGCTGAGTGTGGCGTTAAACAACCAACCATCCAACCAATCGCTGATCCAAATTGGGCCTAACAGCACCTGTCTACTACTGTTTACTCACCCCAGTTGGCAATGTAACGGTAAAGTCTGTATCATTCTTAGCGATGGCAATGGCACACACATCTGTTCCTGTAGGGAGATCAAAGAAAATGATTTACATTTCTATCTACCAGAAGAAAGGAAGAAGAACTGTATTTGTAGGATGAACCCGGGCCACAGATCAAGAAACAACTGACACAAGAAGTCGTTCAACCATCACACAGCATTGCATTACAGAATTTTAACATCATGACCATAAGATACATAATGTAATAAATCTCCAAGAAATTGTCTTTCTAAATTTCACTCCAGAACTCACGAAGTCAACACACTGTAAAAGCTACAGAGCACACACACGCACACAAACACACACGCACAAACACACACAACACAGGCTAGGATATTTTACAAAATCAGGCAGATGCAATTTTCTCAGATCTTCTGTCAAATAACTGAAAAGAGTAGAATTCGTCTATAGCTTTATTGTACGATGGACATATCTACTAGCTACATCAAATAAGGCTTACAGACAGACAGACAGACAGATATTTTATTCAGTATCAAGGCCAAAGGCCCATAATACAAAATAGATTGGTTGAAATAAGCGCACATAAAAGTGACAGGTTTATGTTTTCACAGCTGCAGCTCTAGTTTTATGGATGCATTTCAAAAATTTATGATAATATTTTTATCTTTACTGTTAAGAATGTGTATTAAGTTTTGTTTGCTAACATTATCATACAAAACTGGAGTAATAAGCCTTTTTCTAGCATCATTATAAAATTGGCAATCAAAAAGGGCATGTGTTTCATCTTCAATCCAGTTCATATTATTTAATTTACAGTAAAAACAGACTCTGTCAGCCATTGGTATGTCATTATATCTTCCTACCTCTATACCTAACCCAAAATTGCTACACCTGAACTTTGCTGGGAGAGATTTTAGATAGGGAGATATAGATAACGATAGGTAGCTTTCTACATGCAGTAATGATTTAAAGTGTTTGTAGGCAAATGAATCTGAAAGGTTATGAATAGTGGCAGACCATGATTGTTTGAGATTATCCGAAAGCCGAAGTTTAAACTGCTGCATAAATGCCTTGCTATCACCGACATCCTGTGAGAGCCATACAAACCCAAAACCGAATGTAAATAAGATATTTTTATATTTGTAGCCCATGTAGTCCTACCCGAATCATCAAGCGATTTCAACATATTGTAACCCTGAAATGGGAGTCGATGTGATTCTAACTGAATTAACCTACACCAATATTTAACCGCTCTAGACATATAATTAAATTGTAATGGAAGCCTGCCACATTCCCCTAGAACCATAATACCACTTACATTTCTGCTAACTCTGAGATATTGTCTGCAAATCTTAATCTGAAGACCTTCAATAATTTTACAATATAATGTTCCCCAAACCTCAGATCCATAACACAGAATAGGCAGAATGACAGAGTCAAACAACTTAAAGAGATCCTGAGCTGACAGATTACCCAAATTTCTTTGAAACGAATAGATAGATACAAGTGCTCCATTACCCTGAGAGAGCTTGTCCATATTGGAGTTCACCTCACGTTCAGTTATGACATCATTTAAGTCATCATCACGCACAGTGTGACACACTGCACCTTGAATGTCACATGAAGATAACTGTAAGTCTTGATCACAAGTCAACAAAGAGGAAACATGTTTGACCCAGTCACGTTTGGTCAATATTAACATTTATACCAGGTGTTTTCCTAGTACACTTTAGTAAGTGCCAAAACATTTTAGGGTCCTTCCTGGCTTCCACAAGTTTGTGTTGCTTGTCTTCATAGTATTGTCTCTTTTTCACTTTAAAAAGGCATTTCAACGATGATCTTAGCGATTTGAACACATTAAAATCAACGCCATAGTCTCTGTGAGCTCTAAGATCAGCATATTTATTACATTTAAGTTCTCCTAATTCTTGGTCCCACCATCATGGGTTTGAAATTTCCTTGTGTTAGGTTTATATAGTTTCCTAGCAAAGTATGCAGACTGATAGAAAATGTTTGTGATAGCTAATATTGCTGCGTCAATATTGTTATTTATCTTATCACACAGGGTTCCATGTTCAGTTTCGATTAAATCTTTAAAGTTACTAATGAAATTGTCCGAAGAATCCTGGTCCCATACAAACTTTATCCAATCATGTGAAGTTTGTTCATGTACAGTGTCACTAGTATGTAGTTTGGTATCTGTTTGTGTATTACCATCACTATTAGCTTCACAGTCACATGTTGAGTAGAAGCCAGTGTTTAATGAACATGATATTGGGAAATGATTGGAGTAATCAACATCTTCCACTTTAAAATCACTTATGTATGGAAATAGCTTTGCTGAAGCTATGACATAGTCCACAACACTTGAACCATTATAGGTATAACAGGTGAATTCCCCATGTTTATCTGCAAACAGTCTACCATTCAAAATATGTATACCAAAACTTCGACAGACTTCTGCCAGTTTTTTTTCCATAATTATTCAAACATTGATCTTTATGGATCTGGGGATGTCAAGTCATCACTTGGGTAACCATAAGGCTTACAATCAGTATGTAATATAAATATATATATACAGACATGTCACATACTGAACACAAAAATAGGGCATCATGAACAATTGTGGAGATTTCCATGCCTTTGTTGTAAATACAGAGCATAAAATGTTTATGTGTTCCACACATGTACACAGTTTTAGTATATATCATACATACAAATCAATTATGATTGTTGGAATTCGTCTTATATATAGTATGGTGAGGCTGTTCTTAAGCAAATGTTCTTGGCACCAATGATCGAATGAGCAGAGGTGCCAGGAGATTTGTATTGCTTTAATTTATTGTTTAATGTCGCATACTGCAATGCTCCAGCCATTTGACAATGGTCTGTAAATAGTAGTGACTGTACCAGATAATTCAGTGATTAATTTGGTGATAAATAATTCTTTCCATCGGGTATGAGTACAAGCAATATGATTCAGTTTCAGCAACACTCGGACTAATTCAGAAAGCGGACATTTTCAAAATACCTTTTCTCCAGGCTTCCAAATCCTATGATGCAAATAGTGTTTAAGTAAACTTAATAATTTAAGAAACTTATAATACCGCTTCAAAAAACTTTAATAAAAATGTCTGGCGTGTCAGATTAATGCGGGGTGAAAGCCAAAAATGATTCAGGGCGTCGATCGACAAAGCGTTCGTAGCGCTACGACATTCGTAAGCTTATAATGAACTATAGAGTTAGGACACGTCGTAACGTTACGAACGCTTTGTGGATCGGGGCCCAGGTCTGATAAATTCACAAGCACAGTACGATGCTGACACACATAACTGAGCGAACTAGGATGCCAACCTTTGATCATCGGTTTCTGGTACTCCCAAGGGAGAAAAGTCGCACCATCTGATTTCTATTTTTTGGTGATACCTTTCTTTGCCCGGTAGTTAGCATAAAGATTACAATTTCAAGAGGGCTATTTTATATGAAAGTATATAGCAACTGATGGTTAGCTATCGTCCAGGGTCCGGTTCCACAAAACCACCGTATAGTAAGCCTATGTTGAAGTATGGGACTTATTATCTTAACGCTAAGATCGCTTTGTGCAGCAGGGCTCTGATGTACATATATGACATACCTGTTTCATTGTAACAGATGCAGTCTCCAACGTCGATGCTCTGTACCTCTACGACGACGAAAACGAAGAGCAACGTCCACAGCATCGCTGTAGAATAGTACATGTCGTAACAGACAAGTCACCCTCTAACAGATGGTCCTCTGCTGCCGCCGAATCTCCTAAGACTGGTCGTGCACACTGTAATATTCTACTTATAGGGTTGATCCTTTCGGTGCACAGCAGAAAGCATTCACCTATTTCATACACCGCACACAATTTGTATTACCCAAATTTACCAACGTTAGGAAATCTACGTATCATCTGGCTGTCAGATTTACACACGTTTAAAGGAGTGTTAAAATAAACGAACACTCAACTCTGTATTTACATGTATTTCACAGTGTTTTTCACATTGTTTTCATGTGTTTTCTAGCGGGTTATAGCTAAAACGGCACCACAGCAGAACGGCACCAAATTTGTGTGGCGAAAACGTCTACTGATTTCTGGGCTAAAACGGCACCATATATAAAACAAAGTAAGACGTTGACTCATGTTTTATTTCATTTCATTATAACATTAGCAAGATTATATCAACATATGAGTCATTCTCAAAATCTGTGCATATTTATGTCAGATGTTTGTATCCGACAAAGTTAAGTCAAAATCAAACCAAAAAAATTATGGTAACTAACTTATCACAATATTTTTCTACACTTTATAGTAACAAAAGTAGGGAAACTATATTTTTATATTTACTTTACACCACCCAATTTTACTCAGTGTTCATGTGGGTACATTTGTCCGTTTTAATACAATTTCATTTTGACACTGAGTTTGACACTGGGCGATTTCAGTTGAGTATATGTACTTAAAACATCAAAGCGTGCGATGTTTTCACGCTAAATTGGGATGCCCTTTCCAATCACTGTCGGCACAGTAGATGTATTTACTATCTACACATTCTGCAATCCGATTGTCAGTTATGGGATGCCCACTTCCAATCACTGTCGGCACAGTAGATATATTTGGTTTAAGCACATTTTTATTTCGTCAAAGAAACCTGGATAGGCGAACAAGCCTAGTGGCTTATATAGACGCAACTCCATATATACGTAGATTTGATAATTACTGTAAGCGGTTACTTTTAGAAATGAACTGTTGTAATGAGTTCAGAATATCACTAATAGTTGAGTTATTCAATGCGCCGTTACCATATAAAGTAGTTTTCACATCGTATTCTTGAATATAAAAATACATCTTTGTTCTTAAATTTTGATAGTTCCGACATAATAGTAGATGTATTTATTATCTGCAATCCGATAATCTTATAACAAACTAGTTTTCCCCATAAGATTTTAGTTTGTGCCGTTTTCGCCATAAGATTTGTAGCCGTTTTCGCCAAGTCGAGGTTCCGTTATGTCCAAATGGTGCCGTTTTCGCCAGGTGCCGTTTTGCTGTGGTTCCGTTTTAGCCTGCACCCTTTCTAGCAAGTGTAATATATATGTATATGCTGTGATTGTAGGACATTTATTTTAATACTTTTGAAATTTCGTATGACCAGGGTTAGGTTTGTCATATATTTAGTACCCGCGTAAATGGTTGGTTATGGGTAAATATAGTGTTACAACATTAACACTACTTTAACATGTACATGTATTTCAATGGTTCTGTAACGTAACCGTCACATCGGGTTCGTTAGCGCATCGGACCACGCCATAATGCACGGAGATCATTAGAAACACATGGCGAAGTGATACCCATGACTGAGCACCACTATTTAACGTGCCTGCCTTTCTTGACGTACACATGATGTGTGTTTAAAAAGGGTCAAATATTGGGTCTATGGGCCAGAGCAATACGTATGTTAGGGTGTGTGGGTGTGTGGGTGCGGGTGTGGGTGTGTGTGGGTGTGTGGGTGTGTGTGGGTGTGGGTGTGTGCGTGCGTGCGTGTGTGTGTGCGTGCGTGTGTATGACGGAGAGGGTGTGGGATGGGGTAGGCCTAGGGTGGGGTGGTGGCGGTGGGGTACTGATAGGCCTTTCTGATCAGTAGGTAATACTGTTCATACTTATTGTAATTGAAATTACATTGTAATTTAAATAACTGACCTTAGGTACACTTCTTATATATAACACGCAAGGAGAGACTGCTTATTGCAATAAAACACAGACAGGTGTGTTCACACAGACATGAACCGGTAGGTCATACTCATGATCATAGCTGCACAAATTTCATTATTTATACTTTCAAAAAAGATGTTACAATGTATACTACCCATCAAAAGTTTAGACTCACTTAAAACACTCACTATATGTTATGTATACTCTCCCAAAAAAAGAAACGCATCATAAAAATAGCAATTTCATGTAGCAATGAATTAAAACGTGATTCATTTTACAAAAGGTGTTTACAAAAGTCCTATGGTGTTTATGTTTTGAAACATCACAACAAAACGCACCATCCGTAAAATACCCGTATTTAACAGCATGATTTTCAATTTCGGCGTGTAGTGTCACAGAATACACAATTTCCATGCAATGCACGTGAAAGTTGGGGATCAGATAGTCTCAATGATGGGTATAAAACGTTGATCGCTGTCTGTCGATTATTCACTGTATTTGGAATATTGTTGACGAACGCAAAAAGCCAACCGTCATATCGCCATTGGTTTGCTTGAAGCTGGCCAGTCTCAACGTGCAGTTACCCGACGCATGAATGTTCACCAAAGCACCATTTCACGGCTCTGGGAGTGATATCGCCGGCAGATCTGGGTAGCAGATGCCCCTCGTAGTGGGCGACCTCGAGCGACCACTGCGGCGCAGGATCGCTACATCCGGGTACATCACCTGCGTCGTGGAACAGCTACGGCGACCAGTACCGCTCGACAAATACCCGGATTGAGGAGGCTTTCTGCACAGACCGTCAGGAACAGGTTGAGAGAGGCTGGTTTACGTGCCAGAAGACCTTATTTTGGCCCTGTGCTTCGACAACAAGATAGTCGACATCGAGTTCAATGGTGCACCAACGTTCAGGACTGGAACCTACCGAATTGGCGTAGAATCTGGTTCAGTGATGAATCACGATTTCTATTGGAAAGACGCGATGGAAGAATGCGAGTGTACATACGTCGACGTAAACGTTTCGCCGACGCTTGCGTTCCCCAGGTGGACAGATTCGGCCGGAACAGTGTTATGATGTGGGGAGCGATCACCTGCCGTAGGAGAAGTGATTTGGTGATGACCCAGGGCAACCTGACAGCTCAACAGTACTGTGACGAAATCCTATGCCCACACCTCCTTCCAATCATTGATCGCCAGAGGGAGTTGTTTCAACAGGACAATGCCAGGCCCCACACAGCACGTCACACTAGAGCCTTCCTCCAGAACCACAACATCAATGTGCTCCCCTGGCCCTCAAGATCACCGGACTTAAACCCGATCGAACATCTGTGGGATGCCCTGGAGAGACGGGTGCGACACCGTAACCCTCAACCCCAGACACTTCAGCAACTCGCACAGGCACTACAGGCAGAGTGGGCTGCGATTAGGCAACACGAGATTCTGAGACTTATTCGTTCGATGCCGAGGCGATGCCGTGCAGTTCTGGATGCCGACGGTGGTCACACGAGGTATTGACTTCAATGCCACCACACGTCTCCATGTGACACTCAAACTGACTTTCCTCGAGTTGGTGCCAAAGGCGGATAAGTCTGCATTCCCAATGTGCAATTTCATTGACAAGTTCATTGACTCACAAAGCCTACAAGATGTTTCAAAATAAACACAGAAATACAGTTGAAATTCCTATATGCGTTTCTTTTTTGGGAGAGTATATATACATATGGTTACATCGAAATGAATTTCTCCACTAATTTGGGGGAGCCAACTGCAAACCTTATGGAGATGAATTGAACGAGGATCATGCATCAAACTGCTGAAAAGAATGTGCAAATATCGTGCATGTGATCTGATGCCTTTTGGTCTAAAGTTTTGTTAAGAATTCGCCAATTTTCACTGAGTTTCATCATTTATTGAACTCATGACAATAATCTTTTCAACGTTACGAATTTGTTTTCCAGTACATCAGTTCATGTGTAAACAGTGCCTTGAAAAAGTATGGAATATTTTACAGTTGACTGAAGTAAGTGGCTACATTTACACTAGTGAGTCTAAACTTTTGATGGGTAGTATATTAATGATGTCAATTACTGTTGTAAATGTGTAAATATGCACATACTTGGTATTAGAGCTGTGTTTCGTAGCCTGAGTGGAGAGACGATATATCCTGATAACAGTTTGATGAGGCAAGACGATATATGATGAGTGAGTGAGTGAGCGAGTTAAAGTTTATAGTCACAGTGGCAGTATTTCAGCCATATCGTGACTTAAAATAGTTATCAATTCATTAAAACCTGTATTACATTCACACACACATTTAAAGAGCTGTTGATCTAATAAAATTTCAGCATTTCATGTTGAAGAAGGTACAGTTAAACATATTCAGCACGCCTCAAAATAAATTTGGAGGAAACTGGAGTTTCTTTCACAAACAATTCAATGTAATTTATGTCAGAATTCAGAATCGCTGAAAAAAAGCGCTCAAGTCTGCTGTCTAAATTGTATCTTATCCTTGTTCTCTTTCTTAACAAAGCTAACACATCATTCATAGTTGTGAATAAATGTCAAACAACTAAACCATATTTCAGTTACTTGAAGACAAGTATTGTACAGTTCACAGAGTTTGAAAAATGTTCACACTCTATCACTTCTACACCAACTCCTTTGTTCATGTAACAGATACAAACAAATTCCTACAAGGTTCAATTTGTTTTTAAATTTCAGAAGAATTTCAAAGAGACTCCCTTCCTATTCCTAATGCAATACTCCTTACAACTTTAAGTAGTATTCAAGTAGTATCGGGATATATCGTCTCTTGTGGCGATACATCGATGTATCACGGACCCTCACGTGATATCCTGATGTATTGCCTATATGTGTTTTGTATTGATGCATTCGTATCGCATAGTTGACTATGCAGACATCGATACTATCGATGAATCGTTACACCACTACTTGGGATGGCCTCTTTTTGATTCGGATGGCCTCTTTTTTGATTCGGAATACAGATGTTGTCCAATACGGACATACGAAGCGTCCTCGTACTTTAACCATAATAGTTCAGGGCGAAAGTGTGTTTTATTACACTATACATGGTGGTAGAGCGAACT